GATTGCATTCTAAATGTTGATGTAAATTCAAAACTTTGTATAGAAAAATATTTACATCCATATTTTTTCAAGAAATCGATCTACGTTAATATTTGATGGCAGAATAATCTTTCATGTAACATCAGCTAATGGTTTTTTTGGGTTTTGAAATATTTGCATTTATAGGATTAATGTGAAATTAATAGTTTGGGCTACTATTACAGACATATATTAATAGAGAAAATTAAAATATTTTATTCTGTTAAAAACTTCTCTCCATACAAAATATTATTGATATAAAAAAATACATATTTTTGTTTAAAACATATAATGTGAGCTTAACGACAAATGTTTTTTTTTTTGACCTCAAGCCGGCAAACAAGTTTTAATTTAAAAAAAAAAATAGGTCGCCAAATACCGTAAAATATGGAAAATAAATTCCGAGAAAATCTTATGGTTCGATTTACTTGAAAGTCGGTACATAAGCGGCTCCCGTTATCTGCTGCGGGTGGACCAAAATATTTATTTACTTGACGTCCTCATTACCTGAATTCCCATTATTCCATTCGTTACTCACTTCCACTTCAAGCGACTACAGTTCCCTGTTCGTTTATTTAAATACGTATTGCGGCCAATACTCCAATGGTCCATAGTATGTTGCATGTTCCAGGGTTCGCAAACCAGATAACCATTTTATTTGCGTGGCCGATGGTAAAAACAAAAATGTTGTTGTACCTACAAGTATTGAGTAAACAAAATAAGAATAAAAGATATCGAATGCTGAATTTTTCATACATTTAATGTATATAAGCCCCAGAGAAGCGTTGCAGGGTACGGCTAGTATTCAAATAAATCTCTACTCACAAAAATATTCTTTAAATGTTTCTTTGTAACAGTCCGCTGGATCAATTATTTCCGAAAGGCTTTGTTTCTGATAAAGAGGCGGAGAACGCTTTCTGTAAAATAAAGGCCCTACGGAATTGAATTTTTTGGTATTAAAATCTACCATTCAGTAAATTTTGCTACCTCGACAGAATAGGCCTGTAAAGGTATGATTTTGATATTGCTATGACCTTTTTTCCCTGGTTTTCCATCCGCCTGAAAGTATGTTTGATATATAAAAAGTAACCCGTTCTTGCAAAGTTTTTGTTTGTAAAATGAGGAAAAAAATTTTTTTTTAATAAAAAAAAGCAAAAAATAGCGAAAAAAAATTAAAAGGTAATATTTTACGAAGAAAGCCAAGTTTAAATTATAAACCCATTTAATAAACGCCCTAAATATTTAGTAGCCACTGGACGGGCTGGGTGGGGCTGGTTGTCATTGTTAACTTTCAAAGTTTTTTGAGCGCCTGCAAATACTGTCATAGACCACTTTCAACCTAGGAATTGCAAGCAAATCAAGCAGTTGTTCTAGACAGAAATTAAGTTTGAAATCTAACAGTTGTATAGTAAAAGGCGCCTCCCATTAAATATATAAAAAAATTATTTAAGTTAAATATAGCCTAGTAAGAAGCATACAGTGAAGACGAAACACTCAGGCATACCGATTCACGTGCGAATCAGTCATAATCATTTTTTTTTCAATCAAAAAAAAAAAAAAATGAAGACAAATAAATAACATCTTGACTCTGTCACCACCTAGAGAGTAATTATATACAATAGACAATAGCTTCAAGTAATACAGTTTCCAAATTACGAGAACTTTTTTAAGTAGCTTTTGCAATAACCGAAAAAACAAAAACACAGTCATATTTTTATATAAACAAAAGATGGATTGGCTTATAGTGTTAGCTGATGCCGCGTTGGTAGACCTGTAGATTTTTTAGGCTGCTAGATGGAGGCTCATCTATTTGTTATATAGCTGAGAGTCGTCTGTGAAAGCAGAAGACGTGTACCAACGTTGTACCAATGCCATTCGCCTTCATTGTAAGTACCGTCCAATTTCATACAATAGTTACACACGTAGACTACAGTGGGTTGTGGTCTGTCAGTCCCCTGAGATCGCGCGAACAAATGCTGGATGCATCCTTCCTCATTCTTTTTACACACAATCTACATAGCTTATTCCTGCTCTCTCAGTTTCAGTTTCATTTCGCAAAGAATTTAGCGACTTTCGTATTTCATGTTCTATTCTGACATGAACAGCAGTTTTGGCAATTTCATAAATTATCTAATTTCCCACAATGGCCTTGTAACCGAAAACATAGAAGATATGAGATTGTAACCCTTCTTAATCAAAATCTGTCTGATTTAGGGATATTTTCCGACTTAATACGCTATGGTATTATTGTATTTGTCTGAGTTTGAAATCGATATAATAGATTATTTTTTTACTTATATATACAAACAGCTTTTTCTTAAATATTTGATTGGTCAATTAATTATTGGATTAATCGAAACTTGAGCTCATACATTTCGAAAATTTAATTATTATTGAGAATCGATAATTGTGATTAATCGGGGATCCAACTAAAAAAGTCATAACTAACCGTTGAAGCGATCTTCGGCCGAGCTCCTTCTCCAATTTGTGTTTTTGCGTCTTGATGTTTCTCAAACAAATGGTGGGACCTACAATTTATTTATACTAAGTCGCCTCCGAACGCCTGCTGGTTTTTTTTACGAGGAGCTTTATTTTATGACAGAAATACACTCAGAACGGTGGACATTCTCTGCCGAGGGGCAACCGCAATTAGAAAATTTAACTTAATTTATTATTTAAATTAATTTTCTATAACTTTATTTGGATGAAAGTACGACACCAGGACCTGAACCCGGGGCCTTCCGAATGGCAGTACGCAATGCTAACCACTGGGCTGCCGCAGTCACCATTGAATAATTAATCAGGCTTAAATTAGTTCTCTTATTTCATTGATAGATCAAAAGCACATTCCTGATTGATATTTTGAATGCATAAATATTTTACAGAAATCTGACTAAATTTATTATGAATTTAAATGCAAATCATTTACCATGGAATATTAACAATTTTACATACTTTTTAATTTTATAGTATATTAAAATGTCACATTTACTTATATAATGTATAATAAAAATTTATGCTTTCTCTCTCGCATACTCTAGATGCGGCACTGATGTCATTGTCCTTGAACGTTTTTGTTGTTGTTTGCAAATGGTAATCAGAGTTTTGAATTACAAAACGACTGGGCGACAAAAAAAAAAGAAGAAGAACAACGACAACTGTCGCAAATCAATTTATATCAATCATAATTAGGTGTGAAATAACAACTTAAGCGAAGCCACATACACCGTCACTCCCACACACACACAGGCACAAGCGAGCAAACACACAAATCAGCCAGAAATAGAGGAAAATATATGAAAGTGGAAGAAGATAGAAGGACGAGAAATTAACAAATGTCCTCCAACGCGCTTGTCAACAATTGAGTTTGATTAATTACAACAATAAAGTTGAAATAAATGTTTTTGTTGTCGTCATCATACATACCAACAATCATTTGTATGCACGTAAAATAGTAACTATTTAAATACAATTGCGGAGTGAATGCCAAGTGACAAAGTGACAGGCAACAAGTTGATTACATATACACGTACATTGGTACATATATACAAATATACATACATACATACATATGTATGCACGTGCTACACTGGTGAGTGTTTGCTGAAAGTAGCAAGAAGCAGTTGGTATATTTAGAGTATTGTGCTGTTGTTGTTTTCATGCGCAAAATTTAAACGAATTTTGTTGGAATTTTAGTTTTAGATTTTGCTGTTGCCAATTGCTACTTACACACATATATGGATGAACATAAATATATAACATAAAATACGAGTATATATGATACATCCCATATGCAGGATAATTCAACTGAAATCGCTGAGCGGCAAAGAACTCGATAATTAAATTACAAGAATTAGCTGTTTAGAAGCAGACAGTAGAAGCAGCAACAAGAGAAGCAGCAACAACAGCAATCACCAACAGCAATATATCAGTGTTGACTACCACAGCATACGGAGCAACAACAACAATCATAATTACTGCAACCAACGCATCAAGCGCACGCAACAATCAGGCAGCAACAATCAAACAATAACAACAACAATAACAGTCTCACTGTTTGTCCACAATAACGGTATTCCCAAACGGTGGTTCTCTCACCCACAGCACAACAGCTGGGAGTATAGGCCGCAGGCATAGAAATCAGCAAATATTTCGATCTACATACACACACGCACACAGGCGCTCCAAAGCAGGCGCTTAAAAGCTTGCATAGCTCGCAACTGTAAGGCTCGGGCGGGACGACAGTTGGAGGAGACACAAATTCAATATTGTTGGCGTTGTTCGGAGTTTATTAAATTGATTGGCCGTAACTAATTGGACAGACGGGTCGAGTACGCTTACTCACACAAACAAGCAAGCAGACCAGTAAGCAAGCAAACGAAAGCCAAATTGGAAGCTTCGAGGGAATCTACAGTAGCTGGGAAAGCCAACGGCAAACCGGGCAAACAATATAAATAACGTTACTCGTATAACGGTCCCCTATAAACAGCAATGAAATCTATGCAGCAACAGCGGTCGAGGCAAAATAAAATCTAAACAACCAAATAACAACAATAATAACCGCAACAATATCAACAAAAACAGTAACAACAATCTAGTTGTGAAATTTCTCAAATTTTATACGCACACTACAACTACAACAATAATAATACATCCACAACCAACACCACCACCACAACAACAACAACCAGGCATAGAGGTAAAACACACATACAAATATTTTTGCACTCATACAATCACTCGAAAGCTCATACATACGTACATACATACCTACATACATACATACATACATACATTCATACATACATAGATATACTCAAATTTAATTCCAAAGAGGTCCGCAGGGATCTACCAAAGGTTAGAGTAATACATTCACACAAAAAGACACTCACACAGACAGACACATACACACCAGCGCACAAACGCCAACTTTAATGGTAACGGTATTTCAACCAGTGTTCGGGTATAATTTAATTAGCCAAAATAGCGCAACGTTGGAAACAGCTCAAGCAGCATATTCTCAACCAGCCGCAACATAGGGCGGCACAACAAGACGCGCAGCCTCAGCCGCTGCAGCAGCAAACCCAACCAGCACAACAACAGCAGCAGCAGCAGCAGCAGCAGCAGAAAAAACCACAAACGCCTACTAAAAGCCAGGCCCAACAAGCGCTAGATCAGTCAGCCCCTCCCCAGCAACAACAACAGCTGAAGCAGTTGCCCTCAGTACCACCCACAGCTGGCGTACTAGGTGCCACTGTAAAATCAACAACAGAGACTACAGCGACAGCAAACGTTACAGCGGCATTCCAACCTATTAACCCCCCTACGCTTCCCGAACCTCATCCAACAACAACCACCATAACAGCCACAATAACAACGGCAACAACGGCGGCCAGAGTTTTCTCACGTTACGATAGTATCGAGGAGCTGCAGCAGCGGACGAGCCGAAGTGGAAGCGCAATCGGAATAACGCCAGGGATTGCGGCACAAGGTGCACAAGGAGCGCGTGGTAGTATAGCAGTCGGGGCTGGCATTGGCGCAGGGGGCTTATATGCAGCCACAGGAGCACGTTTACCAGTAGCAGGTGGTGGCAGTGGCGTACGTGGTGCGGCAGGTTCGCGTAGTGGAAGTATAGCGCCGGGCTTAGATGGTCACCGCACTGTGTTGAGTCCCAGTGGTGGCGTAGCGAGCGGACAACAGGGTCTTAGCAGGGGTAGTGTGAATGGTTATGCAACGACGACTGGTGTTGGTGGCAGTGGCGGCGGTGGTGGAACGCAATTGATAGGTGGTGCGGGTGCAACAGCAAGAGGACGTCTCTCAATCAGCTCACCATCTGGACAGACAGCGCAGGCAGCACAAGCAGCACAAGGAGGCTTACCGGGTGTAAATGACTATTCTGGTTCGGGACTTCTAGTGATAGGCGGCAGTGGTGGTGTGGGTGTTACTGGCAGTAGTGCAAGTGTCGGCCAAGGTATTCCAGGTGGTGGCATTGGTCCAGGTGGCGCTGGTATTCCTAAACGTCAGGGCAGTTTCTCGAATGTTTTCTCGAAATTAATCGACGGTATGCCCGCCAGTACAATGTTCTCCAAGTTCAAGAGTACCAATACGGCGTCCACATCCCTGCAAAATGTCACCGATGCGAATCCGATTAGCCAGTATTTTGAGATTGGCAAGCAAGTGGCTTGTGCGGGTCCTGAGCTGGTGTGGCGGATACACGATGGCTACCGCAAGAGTGATGGCAGGGTGAGTTGAATCTTACCATAATATGTATTCTTATATATATTTCTCCCCCTTAGGAATGTTCTATATTCGTTTTCGAGAAGAAAATTGCAGAGAAACTACACAAACCGAGACGCAAGGAGACTGTGACGGAGCTGCTAAAGAATTCTGTGAAGACAATGGAAAGATTTCGACATCCCAAGGTGAGCATCTCAATTATTTGAATACAGGGCTTTCCACCTGCTCTCTTGCCATTTTTTTCAAATTCAAAAAGCAAATATTCTAAAATATACATAACTGAATCCTGTAGAGCCCAAGATGGCCCAAAAGTAATACTTAATTTTTAACAACCAAAATATGAAACCATTTCAGCGAAGCGTGCGGCCTGTTTCACTTAGTAATGCAACAGTAAAAGAGTTGGAATGACTGCTTAGCCTTTCAAGAAATATGAAACTAAATTGGATGATATTGACTTTGACACTTTGTATACCCGGGGAGTTCTGGATCGTGCTGATTGGAACGAGCCATGAAGCATTAAAGATTTTCCAGAAACTTTTAACAGATACCGCTGTGGAATTTTAATATTTTCGTAATACAAATGCTCTTGCTCATTTATGGATTTAATATTATTTTGTATAATGAAGCTTTGTTTTTAAATATATTTTAGGCTTAGGTCCGATAACTCTAAACAGTTTATCCAGCTTTAAATTTCAGGAGAGATTAGCTTACCGCTAAAAATAAATTTATGTTGCATTGTTATTCTTCCAGCGGAAAATGGCTATTATAAGTTGATCAGAAGGGTGACGTAATGTCTACACCACCGTTATCAATCGATCCAAGGCCCATCGTTTTTAGATGTTCCACTTTGTACAAGCAGACTATGAAATCAAAATATTTTGAACACCATTAACGAAATCGTCATTGTCAGCCATTTTAGGGAGGTCTTGTGGTGGAGGCGGAATTTCTATTGTTCCAAGAATGCCTTCTTGCCCACTCTGGTTCTGAAGCATATAGAAAAACTCCCTGGTGAAATTTTCAAAATGGTGTTGATCAGATTTTCTCAAATAAAAAGCGTTAGTTAAGTTGAAAATATAAATTCAGTGGTAAATTTGACCACGGCTATGAAATTTGAAATATACAGTTCGGCGCAACTGCTGAAGCGAAATTCGGCCAGGCTGCTTCTCCAATTTGTGGGTTGCGTCTAAGCCGCCTATAAACGTCTGATGTCATTTTAATGAGGAGCCTTATTTGATGTCGGAAATACAATCGGAGGGGTTGACATTCCCTACTGAGGAGAGACCACGATTAGAAGTTAATTTTTTATATAAACTAATTTTCTTTAAGTGTCGGATGTTGGTGCTAATGCTAATCACTCGGCAATTGCAGCTGACAATTTAAAGAAAATATCTTTTTTTTATAATTGCGCGAAAATCATCATAATTTTATGTTTATACATATTTACTTATATATTTTGAGTTATTTTTTTTTTTTATTAAAATTCGTTAAGAAAATTATGTTCTCGCATTTATTCACATTTAATGCTCCTAAATTAAATTATGCACTAGTATGCGAAATTATTAAACTAAAACTCCCTCTAATCAACAGATTCTGCAAGTTATGCACACGGTGGAGGAATCAACGGATACTTTGGCTTTCGCTGCTGAGCCTATCTTCGCAAGTCTTTCTAATATTTTGGCTTTTCATGTAAGTACATAAATTATTTTCCTATAAGCACATTTTTCATGTATTTTTTCATTTAGCCTCTGGTTCTATTGTACTTTCCACTCATACAACATGTGAATCAGTGATTTTGCTTTTGTTACGTACCGCAAAAGGTTTAGAAAAGTCAACTTCATTAAAGCATATATAAGTAAATTTACATAAACATAACAACTTAAATGCATATACTTAAATAACTGTACATTCGTGCATTTACGAGTAAACATGCGTTAGGCAACCAAGCATGCTCGGTATACGGTATTTGGTCACGTGGCGGCATGTCGCAACATTGATAAAGTTTTCACATTTCGGCTTATATCGACCACTAATGCCTGGGTGTAATGCAGTTACGTACTCGCCCACGACATGCCATGCCACGGCACCTCACCTCAGCAACATACGTGTATGCTCATCACAATGCATGAATATCTCACATTCCTACAACGCCTGCTATCCGGTTTCACCTATACACGCCTGTGTTTGGCATGAAGGTGCACAACAAACACCGCGGGTTGCCATAGCTGACACAGCCATTGTGTGTGTAACATGAGTTAGCGGGGTGGGACACTAGTCTCTAAATATGCGCCACATGCATCAGCGCAGTGATAGCAACTGCCCGCTGTTTTGCTGGTGAGTGCTTGTGAGTAGAATGGGCGTTGTGTGCATTTTTGCGGAAATGGATCCACCACACAGTCTGACTACGCACCATGCTAACCTCTATTTACTTTTGATTACATGGTTGGATGTGCGTTGCGGGGATATATTGTAATAATTTTGAGAAAAGTAGTCATAAAACTAATGACTCAGTAGTCAGTCCTAATTGTGCGGGGCACTAAATAAACTTTTGAGAAATCACTATATTTACCGAAACAAAATTTTATTTAAAGCAGTCGCACTACCAAATAGTTGGTAATATGTACTGATACTAGTCTCAATATAGTTTCATTGGTATCTAGTACTAAGTACTTTGTTCTTCATACCCAGTGTGTGGCTAAGAACAGACATTTGATTTTACTTTTAAGCTTTACAGAATGGGAGTTTCAAAGTTACTCCTTTAGTGTTGATCACTAAGGTACAAAAACATATTTTTTTACCAATCTTAGCTAGTCAACGGAATACTCTATTAAAAATGATTTTAAAGATTTTGTACTTTAATGAAAATTACCACAATAACAGATGGTATGTTGGACTCTCTGCTACTCTTCGGGTTTCAAGTAAAACATGCTTGCTTCTATGCATTTCACTATAATTAGTATATGTGTTTTATTCAACTGTTAGACAAGAAGACTGATGGAACCTTTTCGGTTTCCGTTATATAAAAAAAAAAAAAAATAAAAAATTGCAGGGTGTTTGGGTTACATTTCAAGACTATCTGTTGTCGGAAAGGATTTCACTTGTATTTCGTTTGATTTTCGTCCCATAAATATTCTTTATAGCTGTACTGAAGATCTTTGATGACATGCGCTTGAATTTGGGCAATAATCAATTGACTTTGGTCATTGCTTGGTGGAAATTGCTGCCGATACATTGCAACTGAAGCCTGTAGTTTAAGGGGCTCCCCGAGGCTTATCCTTGGCCCGTTGTTCTGCAGCACCAAACCTTCATGGTTACCCTCTACTATTCTGGTGCCATTGATCGTGCAGATCAGCTCTGCAGTGTACCAATACTGATTTGTCTGCTAGCTCGACTTGGGCGGTTTCTGATGGTCCAATTTCAAACAATAAACGTGCTGTGTATTACACAGGCCGCCAGCTTTTAATTAAATTTTATAACCAGGAGCAGGACTATGCTTCCGAAGAAAAAAAGTCACCATATTCTACTATATTGGACCCGTAATTTTGAATGGTTAAAAAATGCCATCGGATTTCAGGTCAGCAACACCAAAACTCTCATGAATACTCAAATTTCAAGTATTGGCTCTTATTTTCCTCACTATTTTCAAAGTTTTATTTAGTTCTTCTTTATTTACGAACATTTACGAATTTGGCAAACTCAGTAAATTCAATAGACAGTTTCTCCGAGGCAAAAACAGATTTTTTTTTAATCAAAAAGGCTTTTGAAGAGTTGAAGTGGTACTTGCAGCTAGAATAATGATCTCTAAAAAATTTGTTTTCTAGAAGTGGCACGGCAAGCTCTATGCTACTCTGAGAAACTTTATGTAATCAGCAAATCTCCACAGGCGTCGTTACCAGGCGTCAGCTTGTTACTTAACTTATTTTCCCTTTCGTATTGTACTCTGTAGTTGTATACAAAAAACTTAGCAGTTCGTCTTCACACAAAATTTCTGTTTTGTTTATGGTCTTTCCGAGTTTTGGAGATGCCAACTGTATTCGATTTCTCAATTTCCAAGCTATCTTGAAAACTAGCTACCTTTAACCAGGTCTACAAGGGTGTCTAATATTTTAATATCTCCATTAAAATTGCAATAATCAAAGAACGGTCTGGTCTTTGTCAATTGTGAATCTATTCCTGTTAATTTGATGAGAAAACTAAAGGAAAGCTAATTGAAAACGCACGAGTATATGCTTATCTTAACACCCATACTCACATAGAATTTTATTTATTTACTATTTACCTTTACTAAGTTATTATTTCTTCACTTCATGTTAAATTTAATTACAAATGGTATTTTTAATATTTATTACACTGTTGTACTAAAAAAGAATGTAATCTTATAGTACTAAAGCTTTTGATAAATAAATAAATATATATATATTAAAACAAAAATATATAAATATAAATAAAAAAAAGGATAATTTCTCAATTCAATGACAAATACGTGTATGTACGTACATAATGTCAAAATAGTTTAGCTTAAATTATTCTAACAGCTTTTGAAATTTGCCAAAATCAGATTCAATTGCACGATTTTGTTTTCGAAGCACAAAATCTTACAAATTAATTTAATTTGTTTTGTAAATATGAAAGTTTTGTATTCCAAACAAATTTTTTTAATGCAGTTTTTTATTTATTTTTTCCCCTCGACACTAATTTAACGGTACATATATGTATATGTTCCACAAATGCACACCTACAATTGAATTTCTCTCAATGCTCATTCTAGGAATCTAAAACGTATGAAAATTTGGCAATGCCTGCGAATAGTGGGGGCACAGGTGCGCAGAGCAATCAGCAGCAGAACTCGTCGGTGCCACAGAGACCAGCTCATGCAAAAGAGTATAATTTTTTGGATATCGAATTGAAATATGGTTTTCTACAAGTGAGTTGGATATAGAAAATTTGTGTAATTAAATAATATTTGAATAAATGTTAGTAAGTGCTCTTGTTCAATCTAAAATAAACGAAAAATAAAATCTTTTACGTAGGCTTTTTGCGTAACATAAAACCAATTATAACATTTATAGTTGCTTTTAAGCTTTTAGCTTGATCTCCTGCTTTCTTTCATTCCAATGCACAATATTCTAACCAACAAGAAAGCAAATAATTTTCATGAAATGCACATTCATACATTTGCACATGTGTAATTACATACAAATATGAGAGAATCAACTGCAGATTTTCCAATGCTAACGTGAATTGTTTATGAAATAAATTTTCTACATTTTATATTTTCTTAGTAAAACTTCAAAGCTGTATTCGTAGGTATTAATGTTGGCTATAAATTGTAAAACACAGTATCTGTCTCATGATATTTTCATATATTAACTTTGAACATTTAATAAATACTTACCAGTGCTTAGAAATTTTTCGGCATCGATATCATTAAATTTTTTTATCAGTCAGAGTTCATTTCCTTCCTTTTAGTGTACAATTTCGTGTAAAAGACGCAAAAGGGAAATTGAGTTGAAAATTAAATTCAAAAGAAATTGTTTTTACTTCGCCAGAAATATCAAGTTCCTCAACCTTGCAACAACTAAAACTATTTTATTGAATTTTCCGCTTGATTTATTCATCGACAGCCAAGCGAAGGTCTACTAAAAAGCTTATTATTATAGTGGTTTACGTATTTAATGTCGACTCAAATTTATTTGCAAGGAAATCGAGTGCAAATGAAGTGTATAGTTGGTATATTTTATGAGCTGGAATTTGAATTATGTGCAAATGTTCATTTTAAATTAATGATAAAATTATGAATAAATGAATAATATCTTTACTATGGACTATTAGTGTTTTAAGAAATGCATGTTTTCAATTTTATATTTGTTTACATGCAGCTCGTGGAAGCTTTATCCTATCTTCACTACTCGGGTCACGTGATTCATCGAAATGTTTGTCCATCGTCTATATTAGTAACCAAGCGAGGTACCTGGAAATTGGCAGGCTTAGAATTCATAGGTGAGTACATTGAATTTTATCACATCGAAAATAGAAAAAATATGCTATATTACATAATAAATACAAGTTATTTCGCAGATAGAAAAAAAAGAATGCATTTATTTATTAATATTTTCAAAAGCATCTAATTATTTCCCACAGTAAATGACTTTAATAATAAAATTCGCTGAAAAAACTATTTAAAGTTATTCTCGGTACAACAAAAAAATGTTTTATTATATATTTTTTCAATTTTTTTTAGAAATTCATCAACATTAAAACCATATTTTATAAAATATATTTAAAATTTTTAAATATTCTTTCCTCTTTCAGAACGAATGAATGAGACTGATGTAAATGAGCTAGTTCCTTGCCCGCCTTGGAGTAATAGGGTTTCAAAAATGGCTCAACCCAATTTAGATTTCATGGGTAAGTATACAAAAACCAAATTAAAAACAAAAATTCGTAAAGCTGTAATATGCTATGCTATGCACCTCAAAAACAACAAGTTTCAGCAAGCATATAATATGGCTAAGTAAACTGACGTTAAGCAACACTAAAAGCACCGTCAGAATCGGGAAGGACCTCTCCGAGCTGTTTGATACCAAGAGAGGATTCAGACAAGGTGATTCCTTATCGTGTGTCTTCTTAAATTTGTTGCTGGAGAAAATAATATGAGCTGCAGAGCTGAGTGGAAAAGGCTCAATCTTCTGTAAGAGCGTACAGCTGCTGGCGTACGCCGATGATATTGGTATTATTGGCCTCAACAAATACGCCGTGAGTTAAAATTTCTCCAGACTGGATAAGGAAACAAAAGATATGGGTCTCGTAGTGAATGAGGGCAATATGATATATCTCCTGTCATCAAATAGATAGTCGTCACTACTCTGCTCCTAGGTCACTGTTGACAGTCATAACTTTGAGCTCCTATATAATTTCGTCTATCTTGGAACCGGCATTAACACGAACAACAATATCTGCTTTGAAATATCACGCAGAATCACTCTTTCCGATCACGGGTGCTACTTTGGACTGAATAGACTATTAAAAAGTAAAGTCCTCCCTCGACTATCAAAGAACAAACTATACAGGTCGCTCATCATTCCCTTACTGGTATATGGTGCGAAGGCATATACGACGACAACATTTGCTGAGTCGGCGTTAGAAGTTTTTGAGAGAAAGGTTGTGCGTAAGATTTATGATTCTCTATGAGTTGAGAATGGTGAATACCGCAGTCGATGGAACGATGAGCTGTGTGAGATATACATTTAGAGACATGACATAGCTCAGCAAATCAAGAAACAGCGACTACACTGGCTAGGTCATGTGATCTTGATGGATAAGAATACTCCAGCTTTGAAAGTTTCCTGACTGTCCTTGGTATTTCCGATTGGCGCAAAACAGCAAAAAGAAGAAATGAATAACGTAATCTTGTTAACTCAGATATAATCGCGTAAGCACTGCCAGCGCCTGATAATGAGCACTGTGTACACCACACAGACCAAAAATGCATACTTCATTTTAAATTCGTTTACGTAGACCTGGCAGACTCAAAATACTCTTATTTATAATTCGAGGCATTACATTTATATATTCTTTCAAATTTGATCACATTTTATCTTTGTATGTATACTATAATATATAAGTATATATAAGTTCTTCCTTTATATTACCTCTTGAAACGCACACCGTGCAAATGCAAATTTTTAGAAGTTTTATAATCGTATTTATTAGTTTCAAATTAAAAAAAAATGCAGAATATCTTTCATTATTTGTGATCAATTTTTGTCTGTTTGGTTTTTTACTTCTCTTCTACAGCTCCCGAGACTCAATTAACTTCAAAGGGCAGCTTACTTAGTGATATGTTTTCACTGGGCTTGGTAATATGTGCGGTCTTCAATAGTGGTCGACCGCTTATTCAAGCTGGTAATATAGTTTCGAATTATATGAAACAACTCGAAACGGTAAAAATTTAATTTATTGTACAATTTTACTATATTGTTATATTATAGATAGCTCATCATAAGTTATTTAATTTATTGTATTTAAAATATATATTTGACTCTTATTTTTATGTCCATCGTTCATGTTGTAAACCATAAAAAATCATTGTTTCTAATTCAGTTACTTTGATTGCCATTTGAATTCGTTTAGCAAAGTTTCTCTATTCACATCTTTTCATTCATTTATTTCTTTGCATTTTTTATTTACAACTTATTCGCGTGCACTTTTTTAAGCGTTCCATATACGCCACTATTCTTTTTTCAAAGCAACCACAGCTGCACGCGCCAATTTGCGATGTCAAGCCAGTCAAATGCAAATGCAATCATGAACCTTAATTAAATTACTAACTTCGTTTAGAAAAGTACAAAAAACATAAAGGGTTGCATGAAGTTGTGAGCAAAATCTAATTAAAAGTAAAAAAAAAATAAAATTTTATTATTTGGAAATGTAATTTTTTTAAATATTTGATATTGTTAAAAGAAAACATAAACACTGAAATTTGCTTATATTTTCTCAGTTTCGTAATTATCGCTGCCCCGCCTCGGTAAAAATTAATATTAGTGCTACACTGCGTATACGTAACTCACGTGCAGTGCAATAAAATGCAAAGATGCCTGCCTACGGCTTATACAATATATCAATAGATAATACTCACCTTCTCGACAAACACACTCGTAGATGATATATTTAAAAAAATATAACTATTATTCATTCATTCATTCAGGCAGCTACTACTACAACAACTGAATTTATGAGATTACGAAAGCCAAAAGAAAAAAAAAGAGAACAGAAACAACAAACAATTGTGAATTGACTCTTTTCTGTTCAACTTTTCTTCTTTCCACTCTTCTTTTGTTTCCGCCTATGTATGGGCCAGTTTGAAGTGTTTGCACTAATAGAAAAAAAGAAAAAAAAACTTGAATGTATGAAATAGTAAAGCTCTGCGTTGAAGAGTCTTAAATGCAGACGAGCAAAACTTTAACTTTCAAGTGAACACAAGTATTGAAAGTTAATATGTAAAGTGCTATTGACATTGAGGAAGAATTCGGCAGCTGTGAAATTAGAAACTGAGGAAAATTTTTGGCTATCACCACATGCAAAACAGTGAGATTTTTGTATGTAGAGGTTTTCTAGCAATATTCAATAATATGCTATTTAATTAAGAAAACATTATCTAATTAATTTCAGAAAACATACAATATGTCCGGGACGGGAGTAGTAAAATTTTTCTAAAAATATTAAATGATAGAATATAAAAATAATCGAAAAATCAAACATCACTCAAGACATGCCTTTGGATAATTTATAATTTTTTTCTTTTTTCATTAATTTTTTCAAAGCCAATTATTCAATTTTATTTTTTTTAATAAAATAAATTCAATACAATTCTTTCAGCTTGAGGAGTCTGTGCAGAAAATGTTACCGCGTGTCCCAGTGCCACTGCAGGAGGCCACCTCTCGTCTGGTTAATCGAGATCCCACCGCAAGACCGACGGCGCAGTTATTGCAACTTATTAAGTACTTTATGTAAGTGCGAAGAAGAAATTGTTGTTTAAGTATAATTATATTATTTTTTTATGCGCTTTCGTACACTTTTCAAGCTACTTACATAATTTTTTATTTTTGTTACACTTCAAATACCACACTCATTACCCTTTAATTGAGCCTTGAGTAAGAAAACCTCTCCACGCAATGATATACGTTTTTTTTGAAAAAGAACAAGCCTCGTACACCTTAAACTCCTCTAACTCTCAGAGGTATGTACTTCTTCGCAGTATTGTAGTTACAAAAATAATCCATACACCCAAAAACTCACTTGAAATTGAATAAATTTCATATTCCTCATATTAAGGCTTGTAATGCCCAAAAAAAAGAGTTTCAATACTTTTCCATACTTTAAGTTCTTCTGAATTGATGATGCCTCACATATCCAAAATTATAGTAAGTTAAGTACACCTCACGTACCCGAAATTTCTGCTTATGGAAATAAACTATATTCGATTACGGAGAAAAAAGCAAGGAGAAGAGAAGTGTTGTTTGGATCATTCCAACAATACCAACAATCTGGTTAGAATTGGCTAGAAACGAGGGAAATTACCTCTTCTGACCGATCCGATTGTTTTTATTAACGTTTGCATAATTTAGTTTAACCAAAAATTAATGACTCGCTTTAGCTACTTCCAAACAATTACGTAGCTTTATTGCTTCTCCCCCACTGTTATGAATCAACCAAGCATATTATTTATGTAGCTTAACACGCTTCTTCTTCGAGATTTTATGTTGCCCTGACCCTTGCATTAGAGGGTAATAATGCGGAAGCGGTCTTCATAAGAGATTTATTTAAATGAAGGATAACAATAAACACAAATGCGACGACAAATACTCTCTCTTACAATGTTTATTCTTCGGACAATGAGACCAATTAAAGAACAAAACCACATTTATTTTTTGAAAAATCCATGCGGTTCTTGCTGACTTGACTCCAATGAAACCTCCACCTAAGAGAGCGAGACGAGTGGGTGAGGGTAAAAATGGAATGATTTCTTCGTTTTTTACAAAATTGGTTGGATGAGTTAACATACGAGTTATTTGTCTTCGACTTAATAGTAGTAGAAGTAGACTTTTTTAATTTTTTTGACTGCAGCCTTTCAGTATTTCCTTTGATCCCTATTTTCTTGGGACACACCTTACTTAATATAAGACACATAAGAACATCTTAGTTATATAAGAAATAAATATGTATGTATTTGCACACACGTTCTTGTGTTTTAATGGCGTTTATCGCTGTGGTTCTATTTAACTTGCGTAACCTTATTCCGAATGACAAGTGTTACGCTATACTGAGATTCCGACTTATTGAGACTTAATCTTTTGCAGCATAACATATAAACATACCTACGTAGACACTTTGCTACATCTACTAAATATTTTTTTTTTTTTAGATGGAAGGTGTTATTATATGTATGTATGCAAGCTTCTTCGTTGGGTGTTTAAATCGCATTAAGAGTACTAGAGTAAAATAGAAAAATTAACAGAAAGTAGAAAGGTGTAAATACCGTTAGTTAGTGGTGTCTGCAGTTGACGGCCATATCAACCTTGAGTTAAGATGCTTGATGGGCTACTATGAGCTTTTGTTTTTTTTTTTTTTTTTTTTCCTTTGCAAGAGTCTGAAATTATCTGACTGCAATCCACCCATACAGCTCTCCAGCCAGCCAAGCAGCAGCCTCTTTTTGTAATGAGAATGGCTATGACATTGACGTATCCGCCGTCGCTGATCTTGCAGGCGAGACGTAGACAATGAAACAGCATAGGCGTTCAAGCAAATTACTACCCAGTGAGTGAAAGCTTTAAGGCTTTACAGGGTCAAACTTAAATAGGAAAGAGTACTTTCTTACGGACAAAACTATATTATAAAGAGTATTTAAATAAAAAACACTTTGATTAATTTTTGAGTAGTTTTTGAGTGTTGTTTGAGTGATAACCACTTATATTCATACTTTATTAAAATTAAATTTTACGCAAAACCTAAGTATCTCGATTATTTCCCTTGCAATGTCAACTAACCAGTTGAATAAATTTCGCATGGAAGGCATAGAAATGCGGATAACAAAATAATGCAAGTCAAGTGAAAGAAAGCCTCAAGTGCGTACGAGGATAAATTGAAACTCGTAAGCAAGTAAATATTTACGCTTTCCATTCTGTTGGAGATTAAACCACTTTAAAGATAATTTAAATGTTGTCAACAATTTTTTTCACTTTTTTTTTGTATTTCTTATGCCTCGTCTTGTTGAAACGAGATACACACTGTTTACACAGGTTAAGTACATTACCCGCAAGGCTTAAGTGTAGTTTGTTTGGCTGTCTGTCTGCTTGCCTGGTTGGCTGCTGCTTGCAGGAGTAAAAGTATTTTAATGCATAGACACACAAACAGAAAAACATACCTTTGCCCTTAGAGATTTTTTTTACGCATTCAAGAATAAAGCGAATGCTTTAAGAACACTTCATATTTTCAAGAATTCTAATCAATATTGACTTCAATTGAAGAGTTGAAAGTGAAAGGGTTTCAACCATAAAAGTTTCAAGGAATAATTGAGGAATATTTTATTGGGATATATTAGGTTAACATGTCATACTGAGGCTATCAACATGGATCCAGGTGATATGTTTAAGGAGCTCCGACCTTTAGTGACCGCTACATACTAATTTACTGTTTTGTTTAAATCATCTCAAGTTCCTGGAAGGACAAAATAGACGAGTGGTTAGAAAGACTGCAACTGTCATTCAGATGGTCAGGGTTGGCGTCCTCGGAAATAACCAGAAATCAAAAGGTGCTATATGCGGAGAAATTGGCGCTGGACGTATTTCGTCGATGCCAGAGATCGCAATCAAATTGCTCGTTATTTCAGCAGTTTGAGATGTCTCGTTGTCTTGATGTAAAAAGTAGTGCCGCAAATCATCTTCCTTCCTTGTTTTCCAACAAATTTTTGAAAACTTTTGGTAAGCACTCTTCGGTTTACCATTTTGCAGTTACCGTCTGACCCTTTTCCAGTGAAATAGCAGCTACGATTTTAGATTGGGCGAAGTAAACTGACTTCATTACTTTTGCTGCTGATTATTGTTGTTTAAATTTTACGTTTGGGTTTGTTCCTTTTGGGCTCCATTAATGGGCTGCTTTCTGGATCATACTTACAGAACTAAGATTCGTCACCAGTAACGACTTTACTAAAGTTGCTGGACTGACCATATTCGAAATTGAACAAAATGTACTCGAGCTTCCTTTTAGACCTCATTTAAAATTCGTGGCACCCATCGAGCACATTTCTTCGAGTATCTCAGATGATACCTTAATATTCACGATACAGCCATGACATTCAAGGCCAATTCATTAGCAATAATTTTTTGTATAAATCATGGGTCTTCATCGATTTGCGACTTCACCAGAGCTTCAGTGACGCCATCAGTGGAATATTTTGGTCTATCTTTTCAATGCTCGTCCTCCACGGTAAAGTGTGTGGTCTGGAGTCTTCATGACCACTTAGAAGTAGTCTTTAAAGATGATTCCATCGTTCCATATGCAATTCAGCATTCACTGAATATTTGTATTGGCTCTAAATTACGCCGAAACCCGAAGAGAATCCCAAGGCGAATTTCTGTTTACGTTGGTGCTGGAATTTCGCCTGACCTATCATCAACTATCATCGATTAGATGTCTTTATTTTTGACCATAGCTGCCTGGTCACGTTGCAACTAATTTCATTCTACCATCTAATGCTTGCTGGCAAAGGCCAGTTTAAGCATTTACTTCGCCGTGGTCAATGGTACACCTGTATCGTATGCACGGGATGTTGTAGAAAACGGATTACCTCTCCTCGGATGTTCGCCTGCCGTGGAGTCACCTGGGATGTACCTATGCGCGGGCACCTAGAACACGGTTATCTTGCATTTAACAAAATTTTTTTTTCACATTACTTCTACATTTTATAGCTACTTTTGATGGGGTATTGTTACACTGTACAAATCAGATGGCAGCTTGACTATCGGAATATATTATAACTGATTGTTCCGCAGCCTAAATCTATGGCAGCAGTCCTTCGGCGACTTCTATAATTGCAAAGAGTTTTTTTTTAATATTTATGGAGAGCTCTCTGCAAAGATATCCATGGCTTCCTGAATAGGGCGTTTTGTGTTTTCCAATTCCTTACTAATGAAAACGTCTTCAATTTAATTAGTAGCCTCCTTAAATAAGAATTTTTTTCTTCTTACCCGCCACACTGTAACGAGTGATTAGCCAAAAAAGATTTGAAATGAGGTGGGTTGAGTTGATCAGAGCAATCAGCGCATTCAGTACCGATGAGATAAAGCTGTGATGTACTTTTCACCTCCTTAGATGTACGAATCATTTTGTGTGCATTATACACGATGAGATACTTACTGTTTATACCAGCCGTTGATACGTCAGCCAGGCAGTGAAAGAAGTGATGTCCTTGTTTTTGTTAGGGCTGCACAGTGGCAGAAGTAGTACTTGACATACTCTTCCTCTTCTATGTCCCTGCAGCTAAAACAAAAATCATTGAAAAACTCTCTACCGTGAAGTCCCCTTAGACAATTTTCAGTTCGTATGCCCAAATGCAACTCTTACATCGAGATTCACTTCATCCGTATATGTGTATCTCAATACTGTTCAATGGAGAACTGAAAGGTCCAGTTAGAAGGAGTTAAGTAGCAGTGTGTCCTTCTGCGTACTATGAAAGAGCGGCTTTCTTGGTTTTTCAAGTGTCGAAATCATTTATTACTCAACTGATTGAACTAATTTAGCTGAAGGAGAGCTAATGCCGCACTGCTGGCCAGCACTACTCTTTGTATTTTGTTAATTAATTCAACGTTTGTCACTGAACACCATGCGGCCAACCTGTGGAAAAGATTGGTCTTATTAATTAGACTCAAAATTAATACCCCACATTTCTTCAGAAGAGTTTCTGGGATTATGAATTTCAAGCAATACCGCCACTGGTCCAAATATTAATTTTTAATACGAAATTTTGCGTATATCTTTTCCGTAGCTTATAACCTTGTCATTCAAAACATCCACTCACAAAATAGTTACTTATATATGTACACAAATATTTAAGTATATGTAAATAAATATACATATCTACACTCATTTTCCCCTTTCAGCGATCCTGCTGTAAATGCACTTAAATTCTTAGACGTGGTCAACATGAAGGACACATCGCAAAAATCTCATTTCTACAAAAATACGCTAATGGAAGCGATGCCGCTGATACCGAGGGTAAGTAGCTTACCCACAAACCCACAAATTGTAGTGCACTTTATATTTTATACGCGACGTGAAACTCGGGTGAGAGCTGTGAAACTATACGCGCTTTCGTGGAGGCGGTTTCCAAGCACAACACGCCAAATAAAAGGCAAAAATTCTTTTGGTTCTCATGATACTTTTTACATATATAAAACAAACAACAACAACATTGACATAAAGGGTACAGAACTCGAAATAAAATCATTAATGCAACAGGTGTTGAGAGCATAAACAGCAAAGGAACTCATCGTACTCATACCTATGTATGTACATATATACTACATTATATACTCGTATTTGTTTTACTTCTAACCAACTGTACTAAAGTAACCCGCAGCTGTGTGTTCTGCCAACACACACACACACACAGTTATATGCGTGTATGTATTTGAACGCGCGAAATGGCTATATAAAATTCCGACACATTTATGAGACACCAATTGCAGAGGACATAAATGAACCTGTTGCCAGGAGTACATATCCGCGCGCATACCTACAGAAAGAATATAGACATTTTATAGGTGCCGTTGTAGGCATTTTATTACTCGCAAATTTCAGCCATCGCCTGACAGAACGTACACGTATTTGAGAAATATATGTACATACATATATGTGAATACAGGCCATGGCGCGTGGTATCTAACAATTAGCATTTTTATTCCAGAAATTGTGGTGGCAAAATGTGTGGCCTATGTTGCAGGCCGAAATAAGTAACGGTGAAGTATTGGCAGCTGTCCTACAACCGGTGATTACACTCATACAAGAAGCATCGCCGAGTGAGTATGAGTCGATTATGGCGCCGACAATGAAGTAAGTAATAATAATTTTTAGTTTTGTTTCCCATAGTACTTTAAAAAAAAATAATATTAATAATAATACGAGAAAAATTAAGATTACACCAAGTAAACCGAATATATGATTATATGAATGAGTATATTGAATTTATGGAGGGAACACTTCTCCAACATTAGTAGCGAAATTGGAGAACGCGGAGATGGTGAACCCGAAACCCCAATCGATGACGATGGAAAAAAAATTCCATTACCTGCCCATGAAGAAGTTCGAATAGCAATCACCCACTTAAAAAAAAACAAAGCGGCAGGAGCTGACCGGCAGGACCGGCAGAACTATTCAGTCATGGCGGTGAAGAGCTGATATGATGCATGCATCAGCTACTTTGCTGAATAAGTGTCCTTAATATCGCCAATAAGGTCGTGCCGAGCATATTGTGGGAAAGACTGAAGCCCACCGTCAACAAACTGATTGCACCTTATCAGTGTGGCTTCAGACCTGGTAAGTCAACCATTGACCAGATATTCACCATGCGACAAATATTTGTAAAAGACCCGTGAAAAGAGGTTCGACACCCACCACCTCTTCGTCGATTTTAAACCCGCCTTCGACAGCACGAAAAGGAGCTGCCTTTATGCCACTATGTCTGAATTTGGTATCCTCGCAAAACTTATACAGCTGTGTAAGCTGACGTTAGACAACACCAGAAAAGCAGTCAGAATTGGAAAAGACCTCTCCGAGCCGTTCGATACCAAACGAAGTTTCAGACAGGGTGACTCTTTGTCGTGCGATTTCTTCAATTTGATACTGGACAGAATAATAAGAGCTGCAGAGCTTAATAGAGAAGGTACAATCTTCTATAAGAGTGTACAATTACTGGCGTTCGCCGATGATATTGACGTTATCGGCCTAAACAACCGCGCCGTTAGTTTTGCTTCCTTCAGGCTTGATAAAGAAGCGAGTCGAATGGGTCTGGTAGTGAACGAGGACAAAACAAAATATCTTCTGTCATCAAGCAAACAGTCATCGCATTCGCGACTTGGCTCCCACGTCACTGTGTCTGTGTCACAGTCATAACTTTGAAGTCGTAGTCTAATTTCGTCTATCTAGGAACCAGCTTTAACACCAATAATAACGTAGCGCCTAATCACTCTTGCCAACAGGTGCTACTTTGGACTCATTAGGCAATTGAAAAGTAAAGTCCTCTCCTGACGAACGAAAACTAAACTCTACAAGTCCCTCATCGTTCCCGTCCTGCAATATGGTGCGGGAGCATAGGGGTGACAACATCTGATGAGTCGGCGTTAGGAGTTTTTGAGAGAAAGCTCTTGCGTGAGATTTATGGTTCGTTACACGCTAGCAACGGCGAATATCTCAGCCAATGGAGCGATGGGATCTACGAGTTATACGGCGACATTGATATAGCTAAGCGAATCAAGAAGCAGCGGCTACGCTGGCTACGTAATGGCTACGCTGGCTAGGTCATGTGGCGCCAAACAGCAAAAAGAAGAAACGAATGGCGCAATGTTGTTAAATCGGCTATAATCGCGTAAAGTAAGTAAGTAAGTAAAATGAGTAAAATAAAATAAACTGGGATTAAAAAGTGAAATTAAAAAAAAAAAAACAGAGAAAAATAACAATAAAATGCTATAAATACAAATAAATGAGAGCGAAAGAGAATACAAAAATATAAAAAATATAGTAAAATATAATAAACTAAAATAAAATAAAATAAAGTAAAATAAAATAAAAAACTAAATGGAGTAAAGGGAATAAAATACATGAAATGCTATTTTATTGTTTATTAAATTAAATTATATAAAAGGCATTAAAATAAAAAACTGAAATTATTAAATTGAATTCAGTAAATTAAAATGAAAAAAAAAAATTAAATTACGATAAAACAAATCAAAAAATGTGCTTGCAATGGTTGGTTGGTTGGTTGGTTGGTTGGTTGGTTGGTTGAAGTAACTGCAGGGCATCGGCTCGTCTAGGCCACAAGCGGACCCATTGTGATACCAATTAGGATCCTTATGACCCCCACCCGCTAATCAAACCAAAGAGTTTGTAAAGCTGAGCATTTTGGCCCCCGTTATGTCACTCAAGTCTCCAAAGGTTGCCGTCCCTAAAGACAAGCAGAAGTTTCATCAAAAGTGAGGGGTTTTCGCAAAGAAAGTGACTTGAAGTTTCCTGTGTTCAACTTCTGTAGAAATCATAGATGAAATATCCAACATCTGCGTGCCTGCCCAATAAGATATGTACTGTAATAAAGCTTATAACTGTAGTCATCTCCTTCTACGCTTCCATTCTGGCAACATTACATGAGTTGAGATTTCTCCATCTTAAGTTAGCATCTTTAATGAATAACTCTATTGTGTTGAGCTTACAAATGTAGTGCCCTTCCTTGTAAGCTCGTCCGCCATCTCATCACCCGGCATGTTACTCTAAAAATATACATTTCCATTGTCAATCAGTTGTCTATCTGAATTTATTATTTGAATTAATTGATGCAAAATTTATGTTCACTTCTTTAAGTAAAATTCTTAAAAATGTCCATCGCCGATCATTCGAATGACAAATGTTGGAATACCCAGTTTTATATCCAAGAACATTCAGCTGCTTACCCACCACATTTTACCATAAATAATTTCTATTATTTCTTGTTATGCAATTTCACTAAACCCTCACTTGACAAGTAATGACTCAAATAAGTTATGCATTTTTATACTACTTATTCCGCTCTTTGGAGTCATCAGTCGCTTCCGTTTGTAGTTGTAGTAAAAAATTTGTTATTATTAGGTTACAAATACTCAGCGAATTTCATTGCATCCGGTTCATGTCACCACAAATAGATTTGAAATGAACTCGGGGCAATGCCGCAGTCAGTATTCTATAGGCACTACAAGCACTTGCTTTATTTTCTTTCAAATTTAGAGACATTTTCTGAATGTTGAAGTAATTTTTTCAACGAAAAAACCCCCACCTTCTTCTTTCAATGCGTTTAACTTCTCTGATCTTAGTATATCATTTAATTTTATTTTGTTTTGAGTTGTTTTTGCTACGTATGCTTGTTCTTGATTTGTTGACTCCTCAATGTGCCTCCGTACCAGCCAGCTATTCATCCAGCCAGTCAGCCAGCCATGTCCCTCATTGTCTTAGTTGTGTTGTGATAAAAGTTGTTTGTACAATTTAAGTTTGTCACTCGAAAGTACGAAAGTAGGAAAGTAGGAAAGTAAAGTCGCATTGTCCTTGTGTGCTCGCCGTAAAATTTATCCTCTTATTGTAGCTTTACATTTCTCGCTATTTGGTGCGACAATAAACTTAACGTAGAATCATGAGTATATAAGAATGTATGTGCGTGTGCTTGCCGTTAAGTATTCGTGTGAAGACAAATGGAAACTTCCTTCCATCTTCGTCGTGCTTCAAGCATATTTCATTCTCTTGTTAAACACAAGTCAAAGAAAACTATTTTTTTATTTTGTTTTTCTTATTGTCTCATTCCGTGAGCGACTCATAAATAAATCATTTAGAAGGAAACGAATACTATATTTTTTAATGCATTAAGTATATTTTCACAAAATATACACGTATTGATATACTTACTTACTACACCGCCTACGCGACTTTAGCCGAATTTATAACATCGCTGATTGGCGCCAATTGGAGATACCTGACCTGGCTCTACGGCCAGTTCTATTTGGTCTTTTCATTTGCTCTGCTTACACCGGCGGAAACGGCATCGAAAATATTCAGAACTAGAGTATTCTTATCCATCGGGACCACATGACCTTGCCAGCGTAGCCGCTGTTTCTTGATTCGCTGAACTATGTCAATGCCGCCGTAGATCTTATATAGCTCACCACTCCATCGGCTGCGGTATTCGCTGTCAAATTGACGCTTAGCAACACTAACGGCTCCATCAGGATCGGGAAGGACCTCTAACGAGCCGCTCGATGTCAAGTTCAAGTTTTCAGACAGGGTGATTCCTTATCGTGCGACGTTTTTCATTTATTGCTGAAGAAAATAACAAGAGATGCAGAGCTGAAGAGAAAAGGTACAAAGTTGACCTCAACAACCACGCCGTGAGTTCTGCTTTCTCCAGACTGGATAAGGAGGCGAAGGTTATGGGTCTGGGGCAAGACGAGATATTTCCTANCAACCACACCGTGAGTTCTGCTTTCTCCAGACTGGGTAAGGAAGCGAAGGTTATGGGTCTGGGGCAAGACGAAATATCTCCTGTCGTCAACCAAATCATCATTGCGTTCGCGACTCCTACTATATGAGGGCGGCACGGTCGCTGCCAACATCGGATGTTTCGACTGGGTTTCCTGTAGGTTATCGTAAGTTTTATTGTCCTCTGCGCGTTGGAAACGGCTAATATGGCAGCTGATGGAACGGCGAGCTGAACAAGATGTATGGCAACATAAACATAGTTCAGCGAATGAAATGACGGCGGCTATGATGGCTAGATCAAGTGGTCCGGATGTGCAAGAGTAGTCCAGACTATAAAGCTTATAACTGTAGTCATCTCCTTCTACGCTTCCATTCTGGCAACATTACATGAGTTGAGATTTCTCCATCTTAAGTTAGCATCTTTAATGAATAACTCTATTGTGTTGAGCTTACAAATGTAGTGCCCTTCCTTGTAAGCTCGTCCGCCATCTCATCACCCGGCATGTTACTCTAAAAATATACATTTCCATTGTCAATCAGTTGTCTATCTGAATTTATTATTTGAATTAATTGATNATACAAAGTAGAGCCAGGCCATCTCTACTTGGTCTTTTCATTTCCTCTGCTTACACCGGCGGAAACGGCATCGAAAATATTCACAACTAGAGTATTCTTATCCATCTGGACCACATGACCTTGCCAGCGTAGCCGCTGTTTCTTGATTCGCTGAACTATGTCAATGTCGCCGTAGATCTTATATAGCTCACCACTCCATCTGCTGCGGTATTCGCTGTCAAATTGACGCTTAGCAACACTAAAGGCTCCATCAGGATCGGGAAGAACCTCTACGAGCCGCTCGGTGCCAAACGAGTTTTCAGGCAGGGTGAATCTTTATCGTGCGACTTTTTTCAATTACTGCTGAAGAAAATAACAAGAGATGCAGAGCTGAATAGAAAAGGTCGAATCTTCTACAAGAGTCTACAGATGCTGGCGTACGCCGTTGGTATTGACATTATAGACCTCAACAACCACGCCGTGAGTTCTGCTTTCTCCAGACTGGGTAAGGAAGCGAAGGTTATGGGTCTGGGGCAAGACGAGATATTTCCTATCGTCAACCAAATCATCATCGCATTCGCGACTCGGCGTCCACGTCACTGTTGGCAGTCATAACTTTGAAGTCTTAAATAATTTCGTCTTGGAATTTGCATTAACACCAATAAAAACGGCAGCGTTGAATCCGTTGGGTAGGCAATTAAAAAGTAAAGTCCGCTCTCGACGAACCAAGACCAAACTCTACAATTTGCTTCTCATTCCCGTCCTACTATGCGAAGGCGGCATGGTCGCTGCCAACATCGGATGTTTCGACTGGGCAGTTTCCTGTAGGTTAGTTCTATTGTCTTTTGCGCGCTGGAAACGGCTAATACGTCCTCTGATGGAACGGCGAGCTGAACACGATATATGGCGACATAAACATAGTTCATGTGTTCCGGATGTGTAAGAATATTCCGGCTTAAAGTCGCCGCTGGCGGAAGTAGAGGAAGAGGAAGACCTCCACCCCACTGAAAAGACCAGAAAATTAATATTTGACAGCTGAGCTGAACTTCAAGCGGGTATCTAGGAGTAGTTTTGTTGTTTCCTTTCCAAAAGTAGATTATGTGCTGTTCTGCTTTTGATGGAACTGTACTGTATTTGGCTATAATCTGTGGTTTCCGTCATACCCTCAATATGACTACAGAAATCTCTTCAAGAAGATCTTTTTGCCGTGCTTATGGCAGTTCTGTATACCCTCAGCTCATCTTTATATGAAACATGAGAAAAATTTAGTGAAAGACTATGCTTACATATCAAATTCTACTGTAGAAGAAGGGAAAAGTAGTGTGCGATCGCCTAGTAGCTCAGTGATAATATGATGAGGCAGATGACTTAAAGCACTGCAGGCCATGTTCAAAACTATACAGACTTATCGTGCTACCAGACTTTGCATGAAAATTTATATGGGTAAGGTGTCTCGTGTAACTTTACAGTTATATACAACATATAAAGCAAATAAATATGTTGAAGATATTTTTAAACAGATGTTTTTAAGCTGATATAAAAATTCGTCTATAACAATTTAATTATTTATATTGTTAATATTCTTCCGATTGTGAACTAACCAATGGATTTGTAAATTGTTTTCATCTCCACACAGAGTAATCTTAAGTTCTCCAAAATCCATCCAGGCTACTGTAACTTTACTTGAAAATTTACATCTCATCATAGAGAAGACCGCACCCGGCGATGTCACCACAGACATAATTCCAATGTTATTCTTTTCTTTCGAAAGTTCAACAATACAAGTGCAGGTAAATTGAAAAATTGAAATATTTTTATTAGCATCGATTTTCGCAATTCAATTTGAAAATAAAATTTTGTTTAAATTCATAAATATTTTTTAGGATTTTCCTAGGCAACGGCAAAAGTTAAGGCGAATGTAATCTATGTACTAAATTTATTTTTTACTTTTTTTCTTCTTCTTACCCCCATTAGAGTGCTGCTGTTGTCGCCGTTACAAATGTTTTTGACAATATTGAAGATGTTTCCATCAAACGTATGGTGATACCAAAGGTGAAGTCAGTTTTTGAAAAAAATTTAGCAGATCCGAAAATTGTGCAAAACGTGCTCATCTGCATAGAAAGACTCATGGATAAATTGGAACGAGCTCAGGTGAATAAAAAAGCAAAATGAATAGTATAAATAGTGAAATTCCTATCGGTGTTTGGCAAACACTGTTACGCACGTTGAAATAAATGAAATGTACATACATATATCTGAAATACTAGGTGGTAGTTGAATATTTTATTTTTACGTCATACTCTAAGCTGTGTACTTTCATTCTACATCTTGTAATATTCTTAAGCCTCTCACTCAATGTTTTTTCGCTCTTTTTCTTGTTGTTATGATACATTTTTCTATATTTTATTTTTAATTTTTTGCTTTTTTGCGGCACAAGGTTATGGAGGAGGTACTGCAGCTGCTTGGAGATGTTCGCATACCAGAACCAGACATTGTTATGCGTACAGTGCGTAAGTATTCAATACAATACCAAGTACACAAAGTGGTTAAAAAATGTTTATATGCAGAAATGCATTTGTGTATGTTTGGAATTTTAGCATGTAATGTTGGTTTTTGGACTTATAGCAGTAAAAATCCCAGATTGGGATTTGACACACCCTAAATATTTGCTAGGATTTCTTCATATTTACAAGTTCTAATTGGTTAAAATTTTAATTGCAATCTTTATATGTATAAATATTGTATGTCCCACAGAAAACGAGACTAAACATTTTTTATATTTTTTGTAAAAATTCATTAATACCTTCAAAGTAATCTTCTTCCTCTTTAATGTCTTGTTTTGCACGATCTTCATTCGCAAGGTCGCAGCAAGCTCCACTTTCAGACTTGTGGAAGTGATGTGCTGAACAAGCTCACAATACCAAAGTTAGATTTCAATATTTGCCTTACGGTGGGGGAGAAGAGAAGAGGTTTTGGGAGGGAAGTGGATATCATTTCAATCTGCACTAACTAGTCCAAGACAGACTAGGCTGTGGTGGTGGCGTGGAATTACCAGAAATTACTGTTCTTAGAAAACGACTGTAGATCGGCAGAGAAAACACAAAGACATGCTGCTTTTAAGCCCGCACGCAAAACATCTGGAAAACTTCACAGTCAAAGGCTATAGACATGTTTTTGATAACGAAAAAGCTATCGAGTTGCCCACGCAGGGGACATCTCTGAATGAATCAAAGTGAAGGCAGCGCGGTGTGTGTCAGGAACGATCAGGAGAACAAAATTGGACAAACAGTAAACTGTATGATGTCGTAGATGATTTAGTCCAAGTATGATATGACATAAAATGGGTCTCTCCTATAGCAGCCGTTGGCACACCTGCAAACTAAAGAATGCCTAGTTCTTTCAAAAATTTTACATACAACTTTTTGATCACATCACGTTCTTACCCTTGAATAAATATGTATAAATATATAAATGAACCTACAGTTTGCTCTAACCCGTCTCCGCACCTATGAAAATTAACTTACTTTATATTTAAATAAATTTTTTGAAATTTGTTTACCTTTGTTATGGTAGTACGTACTGCTCCACTCGGCTATTCTGGTCTTGAATAGTTTTCCCCGATATATTTGTAAGTAGTATAAGCAACACAGCACGCCAATTTGCCTACCGATCTACGCTTATAGCCTATCGAATGCAGGTTATTGAGCAGAAAAAAATTCAGATAGAGAGAAAATACAATATACACATCAATGTCGCCAGAGTTATGAAATAATTTTTCATATTCTTTTTCGTATTTTAGGTTGTGTTACAAATAATCAATGTCAATTTTTTAAATAATTTAATTGAATTTAATTTAATTAATTTTTTTGGGCAACGTCATTAAAAATTTTGGTCCAGATGAAAATAAAATTTAAATTTAAGAAATAAAAATATAAAAGTTTTCAAAAATTAATTAGAAAAAGGTATTTTAGCAACAAAAACATTTTAATTTTTTTAATTAATAATTGTAAAATAGGAAAAACGCCATATTAATCTATTTACATACATACATATGCCCGTAAGGACTTCGCGCTTGCGTTTATTTATTTTATTTTTATTTTTGCTAACTCTTTCTCTTTCACAATGTGTTTGAAATAAGTTTTCTTAAAAAAAAAATCATTTAATTATTTGCTTATTTAATTAAAATACAAATCACTTTTTAATTGCTTGCAGATATTTATCATAAAATGGTTGTCGATAAATCATATGGTCTGACAGTGGAGACAATGGCGACGCATGTACTGCCACTATTAATTCCGCATACCGTTAATCCGGGTTTGAATCTGGAACAGTATTGTATGTTAGTCGAGGTAATAAAACTAAAAAAGTAATTATCTATTATCTGTATATGTATATATCAGACGTACATACATATGTGTGTTATATACATATATGCCTACATACGAATATATATAAATATATTGTATATTAAAATCCGAAATCATTCTTATTCGTTAAACATTTCTAAAAATACGCACACACAATACACACATGCATAACGAATTTATATGAATATGCAAAAAATACAACTCTGCACTTCAACTCAATGCAATCAGAAACTAAAAAGAAACAAAAAATAGTAATATGTACATATGTTATGTATGTATGTATAATGCATGCATTTCTAACAATAACAATTTCAGGTGCTGCAAGAGATGCTCGAACAAATTGACCGTCAACAGCGTAATAAATTGAGACTGGACAATCTGTCAATACCATCACCCGAACGTCACCGCCCATTGCGACATCAATTCTCATCGGATAACATGAATGCGCCACCATTCAATATACCCAATTTGCGTATCGATCAGCGGAAAACATCTAGTGCTGAGGATATGGCACGAAAGAATTCCGGAGGTATGTATATATGTACATATATGTTACTCGAACAACGACAGCAACTACATAAATATAAACACACACTCATTTTCATACCAACACATGCGATAAGTCACTGTACATACAATGCATATTCATAATATGTACATATGTACATTTTTATACAACATACATATGATTGTACACGTAGGTAGCATGTGATAGCCTCCATGCAAATTTTAGCTATTTGTGCTAACAATGTTGTTATGAGTGATGTGATAGACATGGGATATGTAGTTTGATGAAATACAGCAAAAAAAAATTTGCAAACTCCGAAATATGAATTTGGCAAAAACAGATGCATACACATACATAAATATGCATGCGAGCATAACATTTCGCGGGCAAAAATTTGGCTGATAAACAAAATTCCTGCTAATTCATTTCGGTAAATAAAATACAAGCTGAATTCGTTATCTCCCCTGGTATAGAGCAGCATATTCATTAGGCATCTAATGAGGAATCGAGCCAGTTTTAGATATTTAATAAATGAGTGCGAAAAGAAATAATCTTAGAAATTAATGGAAACAATCTAATAAAGGACTATTCGCTTCTAAATCACTTGTAATAAATCAGCATAAGCGATAAATTTACTGTCGTAACTTGGCGGCACTAATTGTCAGCTGTCAAACCTGACACATTGATGAAATCATCAATTTCTTATCTGTACCAGATAATAATTTTTTCAAAATCCAAAATCAGAAAAATCTGTTTTGGTGTAACTATGGATAGAAAATAATAATTATTTTTGATTTTTTTTAATCGAAAACTTCTATATATCCCATTTGAGTTCTTTGAATTTTCAAAGCTCCGTAGTGGTTTTTAAAACTTTTAATTAAAATCAAAATTATTTTAATTAATTAATTTGTAGAAATATGTCAACTGGCATTTGACTGTCATCTCAGGGTTTGCCCGCCAAATATTAAATCTTAATGGCTGTGGCCAAGTTGGCAGGCGAGCCAGAGAACGTATAACATATTATTTCCTCTGCCTTTTGCCACTTGCAAACATATGCTATACGTTCTCTGAGCGAACTACTCGTAGATGATGCGGACATCGTTGGAATGAAAATTTTCAAAGTAAATACGCAGGCAACGAATAAGGAAATGTTGTACCAAAAGGAGAGCAAAGGATCTGATAGAGAATCATAATGGAATAAAGGAAATTTAAACGAATTATCGAAGACAAGGAATAATAAAAATGATTTAGAATTAAGATCTCAGCTGTTTGCCAATGTAAGCCAACGAAATGACGCTTTCCATAGTTGTAAACCTCTACGATGTTCGTAACTATGGATAGAAAGTATTGTTTTTGATTTTTTTAAACCGCATTTGAGTTTTTTGTATTTTCAGAGGCATATTCTTTAATGTTCTTTGCTTTTCCGTAGTAGTTTAATAATTTGAGATCAATAATTGTAAAATTCAAAATTGATAGTTCATTTCAATTTCTGCTCATCGTTCCCAAATAAACGTTTAACAAATTAAGCTATATTTTTTCGATCATATTTTGATAAAATATAACGATTTTAATCAGAATTATCCATTACACTTTGTGTATGAGATAGAGTTGGCACAGGTGTCTTCTCTGGAAATCCTCCAATGAAACTCTCTTGCAGGCTACCTGACCATTGCAGTGTTTTCCAGGCGGAGATATCTGCTATCGTAAACGCTGCTAAGCAAATCAGATCCAGCTCTAAAGATAAACGACACTCGGGCAGCAACAAAGCAGTGGGCTCGCTTAAACTAAATTCCAAATTAGTGATGGACTGTCTCTTACGTGGGTCCCTGGTCACAAAATTTTCTAGGCAAGGTAAAACCAAGCAGATTTTTCTCGATGAACAACGCATTGAAATGCCTTTTGCCACTTGCAAACTGTTTCTCAAGGAGTTTACATATGAATAAGTCTCGTCAAGTTATGGCATTAGCAGAGATCACGAGAATTTACTACTTAAAGATTTTGTGACATCAGAATGGTTTTTAGCCAGACCTAAGTGAAATCGATACGATAGATCGGTAGCCCCTACAAAACTTAATTTTGATTTTTGAAAAAGAAAAAAACCTAAAAAATGAGTTATTGTTTTTTGAATTTATAAATTATATAATATAAATTATATAATATATATATATGTACATATGATCGAAAGAATTTAAAATTACAATTGTGTAATACAAACAACGAATTCTCCTTGGACCCAATAACTGAATGATGTTCTTGTGGTGGAAATTCAACCCTTCCCTTTATGAAACCCCAATCAATAGACGTGCCAGGCCTTCATAAACTTAAAATAGTAATAATACATAATACAAGTATATTTTATTAGTTAAGTGCATCAGCATCGAATTCTGAGCGAATTGAAGAAACCGTGTTCAACACCTGGATTCTGAGTGGGCAAACTAAATTTTCTTGTTGACCCAAATGAGTTTATATAACTGAAAAAGCGACAGTCTTTCTTCGATTAAAATCCAGACCAACTGCAGTGGGCAGAACGAGAACCGTGAGAGTCGAAAATGATGACTGCTCGTTATTGGCACATGGTTAGAATGTTGATAACCTTTATTCCAGAGTTATCTCTGCTGTGCCACTTCCTTGCTGCACGACAATTACAATAACAACCTGCGAGATCTTCAGCTATCCTGAAGGTGATATAAAGGAATTTCGCGTGTAACTTACAAAGCAATCGTTCGGCTCGAGGTGCATCATTTTAGCCATGTAATGATGCAAAATTAAGGGCTAAATTCTGTGGTAGACTCAACTCCCATCTAATCAGACTTGACATCCTTCAGTAATGTCATGCATGCAAATAGTCCGCCGATGGCACTGACTACCTGTATGTATGAACTCTTAAACTTACCCATCTCCCACCCATCTTCCCCACTCTAACTTCACAACATAAACAGACTTTGACTGCTCCTACGAGGTGTTGACTAAACGGCTACTGCAAGAATGACAACAACTGTGTGCGTATATATCGCTGACATGAGTGACAAAAGTTCACTTAATATTGAAACAAAGATACTGAAAAACCATTATATCCGAACCGTGATTTTTTCTATTTGCAACTTGACGCCAAGTAGGGCCGCCAAATGAAATAACGGCCCTTTTAGCCTCATATTTTGTCTTACCATCAGCAAGCGCTGCATCGAGTACATTCCGATTTCTGGTGATGCAAAGTCTTATTAATCGAAATTTCGCTGTTTTTTTTATTAAAATTTCATTATTGCCTTAAGTCTTTCGCCGCACTTCGCGACTAGCCTGGTGTGATTTCCAACTCTTCGGTAATACTGCTGTCCACAAATATCCTGCTTTGGATACGAATCATTGGAAGAAGATGAATGTATTGGTCATAGAGAGTTCAACATCGAAGTGCAAGGAGCCTTGCAAATAACAGAAAAAAAATTGATTGCTTTTAAATAGTCGTATTTTAAAATCATTGTGTTTTAAATCATGTTTAATTTTTTTTAACATTATTTATATTTATGTCATCTTAGTGAACAGTAATTTTTATTGCTGTCTGTTCTTGTAGTTCATAAATCGACTTATTTAATTTTACGCTCTTCGGGCAACAACAAATCACAGAGTTCGAAAACAATTTAAAAGTTTAAACTTAATTTTGCTCGACTGCTTCCATTGAGGGGAGAATTTCGCTATTTTCGTTGTCACTTATAGAGAAATACAAAATATTTGACGCAAATAAACTTGGAAAAAAATACACACAACGCTCAAGAAGAAGTCAAATGAGGCGCCTTAAGGTAAAGAAAAGTTTTTGGAATGTTTAATGGTTAACTTACACTCAAACATACATACTTCTGTATGTATGTAAAAAAAGTGTAGAGCTGGCTTAAGGCTTTGATAAAAAAACTGTTCTGAGTTCGACATACAAAAGGTAACTCTATATAAAATTACATGCCTTCCAATATACAGACCAAACTTACTCATAAATACTTGGTAGGTAATTAAATAGCCAATAATAACGTTTAACCCTCAATGAGCTGATTAAGTCTGGTAACTATGCGGTTTGGCTTTGCAAATAAATCAATTTTGCGTTACACGTAACCCGTCAAGGCTAGTCGCCGGCTTTCAAGCTTTCAATATTCCCATGGCCAAGGGCATCCCACGTAGGCGCAACGCAGGCGCTTGCTACTGTTCGTGCTTCTAAATATGCGTTGCTCTACTAGGTATCTGCAGCTCGTTTATTTCCAAACCACTAATTGATTATAGTACATACATACATACATACATGTATATGTGTGTACGTATACAAGAACAATGTTATGCCCTCGAGTGGCAATTTGACAGCCAATGTACCACTAATTCCGAAATCCATGAAGTCTTAGTAAATATTTATATACATACATACATACATATGTATGTGAGAATATGTCTACGATCATAATTCGTAAAACCGAAAGGAGCACCATTAAATATATATATGTACAATTCTACAAACATATTTACAACTCTAATTAGTACAAGCCTAGTTGTAGTATGTGTGTATGTAAATGAAATGGCCACAGATTCAAGGTAATTCTTTAATTGTTTTTTCGAGCTCGGTGATTGCTTTTGACGTATCTTTAATTTGGTTAATCTATAAAGCTAGATGATCGCCTGTAAACATGATTTTATTTATTATTAAAATAAGGATTTTGATAAGGTGATAAGGTGATAGCTAAGGATAGATAAGAACACCAACCATTACTAAAGTAAATCTTCTTCTGCTTCATATTCATATCGCATTCGGGTTCATATAGTCGGGTTATATGAAGTCTGATCCATTGTCATTTTCGATTTTCCAACAAAGCCTAACGTAAGTGCTTTCGCCTGCTCTAGAAAGTCTTCTGCGACAGCTATTTCCCACTCTTAATGTTTAGCTATTTCATTCTCTCTCTGTAAGAGCAAGTGTATATTTTAGGTAGAATTTCTCACCATTGAACTTTCTTTTGCGCTTGATACAGAACGAATCTTGGTTCATGGCGAGTTCTATCGCTATATATGAGGTAAATATTTTTTTTCGGATTTTTTATTTCGCCAGCTTATTACATGCCCGTGGTCATCATGTCAGAGTAACCGCAATAAAGCTCGTCCTTTCGCTTGAGATAAATATGTCTACAAGAAGGTTATAACCGCACAAAACCAATTCAAAATTGTTAATTAGTTCACAGTCTTTTGGTGGATTAGCCACAGCTCACTCACATCTGCACACGTCATCTGGTAATATATTAATTTTCATCCACATTCTCGTACTCGCATACACACACACATACGTATATAAGTAATTAACCCTTTGCCTAAGCCGCAACGTGGACAATGTGTTGTGTTTTGAATATTTTTAATTTTTGCAGTTCGCTTATTTACAGGTTCAGGTATGCTGGGTGGCTGGTGGTTCGGTTGTTCGCCATCATCGCCCGATAGTAATTTCCTGCGCGTAGCTAATGCATTCCCCAACCGGCGACTGTCGGACAACACTTTGATGACACCGAAAATCCGCATTGCACCATCGTGCGCCTCATCGCCGGGCGGCACACCGGGTAGTGGACTGCCAACACGTCGACACTCGAGCATAGGACCGCAGGAACGCCGTGGCTCGACAATCAATCTGTCACCGCCTACTGTAAGTGGCCGCCTTCCTTCTAAACACGCATTCATCACTGATTTTTTCATCAAGTTCAGCGTGTGCGTTTACACACACATACATATATATTAATATGTATGTACGCCCGCTGATTTACTATGTGGTTATGTTTATTGATTTTCAATTTAATTTTTAATTTCTCTACCTAAGTTTTTAATTATTTCAAAGCAGCTTAATAGCTTAGTTCTTCCGTATTTTCGTTTATTATTTCTATTTATTTATTTTCTATTTTTTATTTGTAGTCGTGGATGGGGTGGGAGTGCGCTATGTTAATTTTGCTGTTAAAAAACAAGTGAAAAAAAACACAAGAATTAATAGTAAATAATTTTGTTGTAGTGAAGTTTTGCGAATTAAATATAATATTTCCATATACTCGTACATAGCTATATAATTAGTTCTTTCATTTAGCGAAATTAAATTCAATTTGTACAAATTATACTTGCCAATGCTTTACTATCGCATAGCTGAATTAAATTGTTTACATATATAAATTTAACTATTTATTTTCAACTTAGAGCCAGCTCATGTACTAATAAGGGTTTGATTTTTTAGTTTTAATTATGCCATGTTTCCATTGCAATGTTCGATTGATNTTTACTACTACTACTAACCACATTTCATCACATAACAACTATAATACATATTACATAATAACTAATGATAATTGGTAATTGATGAACGGTAAACGTCCCCATCTACACTTCCTCCAAACAACAAATAGACGTATGGTTTTGGTGCTCGCGGTAGCTCAGGATCGAGTTTGTCGGTACCCTCTTCATCGGCCTATGTTGTAAGTCTAAAAAACGCCTCAACAAATACAGTCAAACCAAAAGTGAAATTTGAATTTTGTAAAAAAAAAAAAAAAAAACATTTCGACTAAATCAGGTATCTTGTGCGAGTACAATGCGATGTTGCGAGTCGCATAATTTAAATGAAAAGTTGGTTATGCTGTACTAACCTGCATATTGACGCTTTATTTTTGTATTACGTGTATATGAGCTACTTACTACTACAAGCACATGTGTAATCTGTTCGTTTCATAAATATGGTCATTTACTGTTTGCAAGCTCGTTCGTACTCGCCTCCGCACGCTCGTCAAATGATAATAAGCAAGCTGTATCGTGATTTATTTTCGTATAAATAATACCTTGAAGGCATTTGTTGGTCTCTTTCTTATTTTAAAACACTCGTTAAATCCAACTTAAGTACGTATTAACTGTTGATGAAAGTTGTTTTATTTATTTATTGCCTAAGTGATTATATAAAATGGTTATTGTGAATGCGTTATAAGTTTTTACAAAATCTCAGTACTGTTCGGTGAGTTGATTGGCAGCAGCAATTGCTACTGAATCTTACCGAATCGCCGCCAGAGCGCATTTTTGACATTTTTTACTGGTTTATTCTTCCTGCCATTTCTCACCAGCGTCGTTAAATCTGATATCAGATTGAGTAAAAATAATAAGAGCCGCTTAATATCTCAAATATATATATATATATATATGTATATAAATTTTTTCTCCTTATATAGACATGCATAACGTCTTCATAATAACTATTTTGTAGTCACAAAAAGGGAATTCAATTGTTATTTCCATTTGTTTCAAATTTTGTTGTTCATTTATTTTGCATTTTGCTGTTAATAATGTAATTCTAAATTAAGCGACGATGTGCAAACAAACGTATTCAAAATTTAATGCTTACTGTGATTTGAAAATAATATTTTTATTATTTGCTGATGTTGTACTGTATGATTTTTTGGTTGCTTAATAAATTGATTACTTTGCTTTTGTTGTGAACTCAAAGAAGCTAGAAGCTAGTTAAAAAAAAAAAATATTTAACTTAAGTCTTTTGTGCGGGTTATTTGCACCGTTAATCTAGCTCTGCACAGCTTTCTATTTAAGTCGCACAAACTTCCGAATACTGTCGAGCTATTTTGCATAAAATACGTCGGTTGATTACTTCGGTGAGGTAGCTTAAAGGAAAACTGTGAAAGGTTTGTTGACGATCTTTTAAAATTTGAAATCGCATCACCTTGTGTTTAAGAATTTCTTAGGCTCCAGTAAGTGTTCCTACAAAAAAAAAAAAAAAACAAGTATAAGCAACGAAAATCTCCAAAATACTCAAAATACCAACCGCTGAGCGTGATTTCCGCTTCAAGTTATATCCGTGGATTCTTAGCTTAACAATCTCAGCAATTTGAAAATTTTGAAATTCAACAACAAGCGTCGCTGTGTAAGGGCAGCAGGTGTCAAAAGTTGTTTACATTTTATGCGTAAAATACATGTGGTTTTTAAAAGAAATAAAATAATATAATGTTGTGGCCAAAAGTTTAGCTTTATGACCATGTCATTACGTTTTAATAATTATTTCCGGCAGGCTCGCAGCTGTTTGTCAGCAATAACGCGCCGAATATACTGTTTCCAGTTGTCAATGCTCTCGAGCTTATCTGCATAGACGAGCAACATTACATAAACCTCCAAAAAATGGCCAGTGATTTTAAATTGTACGATCTCGGAGATCACGCCACAGGCCCACGACGCTAGGTAATGCGCTCGCCAACAGTTTCCTTCAATAAATAGCTTGATTCCTCCTCACCAACCTCACCTCCAAGGCGCGGAAAATTCACTAATCATATTTGAAGAAATATGGACCAATGATTCACGCTGCACATAGAGCACACTAAACAGAGACTTTCTGAAGATTCATGCACAATTTGCAAACGTTTTCCAGAGTAAGACTTTAAACAATTGCAAACCAAACTCAGCATAACTCAAGTGACAGCTGTCAAAAAGACGAAAAAAGTACTGCCCGATTGAAAACCACAAGTCAAAAAAACACCCTATATGATTTTTTAATTACTTCGATTTTAAGATTTTTGGTACTGTTATGAAATCCGATCTAAATTGATTTAGGTTCCTGTGCTTCATATAAAAAACTAAAAAAAATACCAAATCGGAGTTTTCTACTAACAGGCCTATTCACCCTGTTACCGGTAAAGTAAATTTTGTTACTTTTTTTAACAACCGAAATTGAGTTTGGTATTCTGGCGAACTGGTTACAATGTTTCAAAAACTTTGGCAGCACTGCTATTTTCGTCCTTTTCAAATTACAGTTGCCAGTTGGTAAAGTAAAAACGAAGAATATTCACATCGAAATGAAAGACGGGCGTTNAACTTAAAAAAATACTAAATCGGAGTTTTCTACTAACAGGCCTATTCTCACTGTTACCGGTAAAGTAAATTTTGTTACTTTTTTAACAATTTGGTATTCTGGCGAACTGGTTACAATGTTTGAAAAAAATTTGGTAGCACTGCTTTTTTCGTCCTTGTCAAATTACATTCGCCAGTTGGTATAGTAAAAAAGGAGAAAATTCAAATCGAAATGGAAGACGGTGCGTTTCAAAATAAATAAGTTTTATTTTCTAGAAACTTGCACTTTTTTCTTCATCTGCCATGAATTCCAGGCCTAAAATATGCTTACCCAAATTGGTTTTTATTTTCTCTCAAATTTACAACACAAAATCAAACAGTAGATATTTTTTAGTGAAGTCAGAATACGAAATAGCAACAAAATTTAATGATAATTGGATTCAAAAATACTGAAAAATTAAGTCGGACAGGATATAAGAATACGATTATTCAAGACCAATACCGATCGAAACAGGATTTCAGAACAACCCTATCTATGTTGTTGCTGATTTTTCCACGCCTTTAATAAACTAACTTCAGGAAAAAAAAAATTTTTTTAAAGAAGTTAACAGCATAAAGCCAGAATTTTTGACACCAATAATCATTGAATCATTTTTTTTTAAATTATAAATTTTTAGCAAATACAAAATGGTCTAGAATAGATTCTACTCGTTTAAGATGATCGTGAGAATCATTAAATTTCGCTAAAAATTTATTTAGGGATTTTTTCAAGAGATTATTAGCGACTGAGTACACGTATTTAGCTATTTCAGTACAAAGGTAATAATTTTAAGTTTTATAAAAATGATTTTAATAGTGTAAAATACAATTTCTATATTTTTGGTGTGAAAAGTGTTCGAAAGTGAGTGCGCTTAAAAATTATAAATGTAATTTTCATGCTTTTAAATTCCAAATGTGAAAATTAAATTGTTCTTACTATGTCAATTAAGTATAAGTGTGAGCTCATACTTATCTGTTTACAATTTCTTATTTCGATGTTTTAATTTATGTGGTTGTCTCCACTCATTTTTTATAAAAAAAAAAAAACATAAGCGTTCAGTATATATAATAAATACTTGGGTGTTACGCAGCAATAATCTCTCTGTACGCGTGAAAATATTGTAATTTTGTCATTTCAGAGCTATAATTCTCGGTGTTCACCAAGCGAGCAAAACACACTCTATAATCACACATATAACCACATATCCGCATACATATACATATATATACTTACTTACTTGTACACTTTGACGTTCGCGCCAATCTCAGTGGGCATAATTTCATTAATTCATTAATGTTTTTTTTTTATTTAATATATGCATATGTATGTCTTTATTTTTCTATGTTTTGTTGTTAATTTCTTGAATTGAAGTTCTTTTTTTGTTTCATGTCAAATCTCCAAGTCCAAAAAATTACTATCTGAAATGTGTGCGTTCCATTGTTTATCAAAGTATATGTTTTTTATTTCATTTACTTTCGTTTAATTGGAAATTTTCGCAGCTTGCACGGAGCATGATCGTGAGTACACGTTTTCGCTTTAACTTTGCTACATTTATGCAAACACACACACACACACACACACGAACGACGCATTTGTACAATTGTTTTAACTTTAAGTAAGATTACATAACTCATATATAAATATACATATGCATACGTATGTACATGAAATTGTGAATTGCGTTCAACTGTCTTCTGGTGGAATCTGAAATGCAAACGCCTTCGCCTCTCTATGCTTTTCGCAAACTTTTAGTTAATCCTCAGTTTCGTAAATGCTCACTCCCGAACGATTACAATTCGTTGATATGTGGTAACGAGTTATTCATATGCGCTCGTTGAAATGAATTTATTCGCTTGAGAACTCGATGTTATTAAAAAAAAAATTGAGCTTTTACGAAACTATCCAATATAACATAACATACGATATTTCAAGTTATCATTTTCAAGTCCTTTTTAATTAGTATTCGTTATTATGTTTACACACATACATATCTACATGCATATACAGTGAGTAACAATTTAATATAATATGTTTGGTTGAGTTGTTGTTTGTTTTACTTCGCTACGTTGTATTCTTGAAATAAACACATAATTTATATATACATACAGTATGTCAATTAATTGTCTGGAAAATAAAAACAAAAATTAAACAAATTCTTTCTTCAACTTGATTTTTATTAACTAAAAAAATTTTCTTTTTTTTTATATAATATTAGTCTGAGTAATCTTAACATATGTATGTCCAGAACTCAAACATACAATTAAAAGAGATATAGAAATTCAAAAAAAAATTGCTGTTTTATGGTGTCAATTAAATGTTTGCATTTGCATTAAAACTTGGAAAATATAGCAGTGTTGGTACTAATATTTGGAATGATGGCCACTTGCATCCATAAAAGCTCGAAGACGACGGGACATGTACTGAATAAGGTTGTTTAATTCATAATTTTCAGGTATCTTCTTCCACTCCTCCTAAATGACCTTAATAAGAGCGTTTTTTTTTATTAGTTGGGCCTCGTTTGCCCATTCGTTTTTTTAAAAAAGTCCATAAAGTTTCTCTGGGATTTAAGTCAGGATTCTGGGCAGGAGTGTCAATCACTTCACTCCAATTATATAGTAATCACATCCTGCACAGCAATGATTTATGTGTGGGGTCGGTATTCGGGTACAGTTTGTTCCTTAATTTATAGGGGGTTTCATGGTCAACAAATCCAAATCTTATCGCACTCCTTGACAATTCGTTCTTTAAAATGTCCAAGTAAAACTCCTTCGTCATCACGTTTATTTTTGGAGTTAGATTTTCTTTTTAGTGTTGGAATTATATTTTTCTGTTGCAAAGCTATGTTGGGCTTTCTCCAAACATTACTGGGTCCATCGTGATAGTATAACAATATTTTTGTCTCGTCGCAAAGAATAACGTCACCCTAGTATTCCACACTCCTGTAAACATTGGTAAGATAAAAGTTGATCCGCTTCTTAATATTAATTAATATAATACATTAGTTTCTTTCCAGCTATTTACGAGGAGTACTTCTATATTTTTAAGACTCCCCGGATTGTCTCGTCACTTACTGTTTTACAGCAATCATTTTCAATATCTAACGCCAATTTTCTCAGGGAGATTTGAAGATTATCACTGATCTGTTTTAAACTTTTTCAACGACCGCGTCTAGAAAGTTTCGGTGGTCTACCTCCAGAGTGCTTTAACTCCAACCTGTTTTCTTTTTCTGCGCGTTTAATAATATTATAAATCGTTCTAAGCTTGTTGGAAAACATTTCCGCTAAATTCTTAGCCGATTCTCTTTAAGGTAGTTAAAATAAGATTAAGATTTTCATTAATTTGCTTGCCAGGCATTGTTAAAAGCGCTAAATCAACAAGATCTGAACTATCCAAAGCATTAATTGAATTGAATGTAATGGAGCAACGCGTTCACTCGTTTTCAAATTTGAGATACCGTTAAGTAATCTACGCTTTATTTTGTATTGTGTGGGCATTTTGCTTAGAATTAATTGACAACGCAATATTTGGCGAATTTAAATTTGTTATTTCTGCGAGTGATATTTGTTAAGAATACTTAGATTAACAATGCCAATTAATAAAAAAAAAGGAAAATAAATTATAAAATAAAATTTGAAAAGTGATTTTTGTGATTTTTTCATTTCGCAAACAATCAATTGACATACCCTATATGCAAATATACATAACTTAAAGCATAAATATGTATACAATATATATACATAATATTTATATACAAATTATTTACTGTATGAGTTTTACACTCGATAGTTAAACGTTTGTTCACTTTCTGTTTAAAAAATTATTTTATGGCTTTGAAATTCACTTATGTAATGCAAAAGGCATTTGCGTGTAATCCATTAATCGAAATCTATTTAATTCATGAACGAATTTTTTTTTTTAAGAAAATAATTAGTTTCCTTATTAACTACACTTTAATTAATCATAATCTTATTAATCGCAATTCACGATTAATCGGATTTGTGATTTTTGTAAAATTATTTTGAAAAATACTTAATTGATTAATCGCCCATGCCTACTATAAAATGTTAATTTGTGTAATTAATTGGTTGTTTCATTCGTTATGTATACGGCTTTATGTTGTTTTTATTATATTTATTGCTAAACAGCTTTGACTAAACGCATTACTCATCACATTTATTTGCAAACCAAGTGAGACATGAAGAAAGATATTTATGTTTTGAAGCATCTTTCCAGCGAAGAGAAATGTGAGTTTGTATGTATAGTAAAATAAAAGCGCAGATCGGCCAAGAACGTTTTGTTACATAAATAACAAATTTTAATTAGAATTAAAAATAATTAAAATGATGGAAAAAAATGAAATTCAAACGAAAAAGAACAAAAAATAATAATAGTGACAGGTGCAGACTTTTTTCAGGATTAAGAGCGCCTAGTTCTATGATAGCTTTGAGCCTTCGTTTTGGAAGTGCGAGGATTCCACTTGCCTGAGTAGTGTTCTGTAGTGCAATTAATAAGCCGAGCAGAAACATTTCTTGCATATATATCACTGTCCGATATGCCCATTTTCCACCGTAATGCTGTCCTTGGGACACCACAAGAGCGTGTGACTCTCGTTGCTGTCTTGCTACCGCAGCCTTCCTTTAGTAAAGACTTTGATCTCGAAAATTCTGTGGGAATTCGACAGCATATATTGTGTGAGTTCAATCTATCATCTACGTACGGTTCTTACATTTTTCTCCATTACGTCACTAATAGTATCCAGAAACTTAACTGTTGTCACTAAAGCTATATCGTCTGAAAAGGCAATTAACTTAGTGCTTTCTTTTCAAACTTATTCGGCAGCTCCTGTGCTCCGAGTGTGCACAGAAGCGCTGTCAAGGTGCCGCCTTGAGAAATACATCAGCCAGCAGGTGTAGTAAGTCCGGCTTTACTCCACTCTATATAAATAAAATTAAAGGTTACTAATTATATTTTCATTTATTGAAAATGAGACTGAGGAAAAATACATTTATTTTCATATATTTGCTATCCTGCAAAAGCATATTTCTCTTCAAGATTCGCACAAGAAACACCTACATCTATATAAATACAATATCTATAATATTTTCATATTCTATGACAATAGCCTTTGTATGCTTTGAAGAGACTTCATAATCTTTCAAAGAAATCTCCCTTATTATCCTCCAACAAACAGGGTGGATCAATGCCGAATACATCGAGCAGCGTACCATTTTTATTATCGTCCAGCATGCAATCGATCCGTTCCAGACGTACATCAACCGTACTCTCATCGGGACCCCTGGGATCTGGCTCTGGTTTACTACAACAACTTGGCACCGGAATGGTAAGACAAATAACAACTTCTGTATCAGGCAATGCAAGCCCGGTGCAACATTTAATGGTTAATGGACAACGTACGTATGTCCGAAAGTGTCCGTCACTCAATATCACATTCAGTCAGTAGTCATGAATTGAATAAATTAAAATAAAAGTAAATGGTGAATGAATGAAATGAAATGAGTTAAAAATAAATTAAAATATGGAAAATAGAGATATGAAGATTAAGCCTGTGGGCGTTGGCAAGAAATGAAGATTTGCAAACGCCTTAAACGCAAAAATATGCATTGAATCATTTGAGCTGTGCTTTGTAACAAAATATTTAACAAACTAAAAAGGATTTTTTCATTTACACACATACATACAGAGTAGCGTTAGCTTTAAAAAATATGTATAATGAAATATTTAAAAATGAAAAGTTTTTTTAAATACATAAAAAAACAAAAAAAAAAAAAAAATGAACGTCAAGTGCTCTACTTTCTGAGCACCTGCATACGTCCCTTTAACGGCAAAACATTAACTTAGAATACATATGTATGTAATTGGCTCTATGAATAGTGTTTTTTATCAAATAAAGAAAAATAATTAAAAAAATATATATAAATATACGTATGAATATGTACTTACAAATTATCTATGTACATATATATAGAATTGAACAAAAGGTATTAATTGTTACGTATGTATATATCTGTGTATAAATAATAATATGTACATATTTACATTGCTTGCGTGTATTTATGGCTAAGAGTTTTATGTAAAAAAATCTTTTTTTGGCCACTTTGAAGGATTTTCCTTCATAATAGCAACACAGTGAGTTAACCAAATTCGAAATTCCGTTCGGAGTTCAGTGCTGCCAATCATTAGATGAACTTCACATTCACATTCTCACTGTCCACTCGTTCATGTCAAACTACATTTGCCAGTTGGTAAAGAAGAATATTCATAAATACATATATTTGCATTTGTTGGGAAGCAAATTTTCCCGGCTTTTACTTTGACAATCAATTTTGAAATATAAAGCAGTGATCGCGAAACAGAAAGTTGGCTCACAGTGATTAGACAATTGCTTCCAACGCATTCCTAAACACGAAATAGTAACAAAATTCACTGAATGGTAAATTTTAATACCAAAGTATATTTTATTACCTCGACAGCGTAGACCTGTTAGGCATGTTCTTTTTATAAAAAAAATTACCTTGTCTAAATTTAATTAAAAAAGGCTTACTCAATTAACATTTTTTTTAGTAAAAAAAAATCCATTAGAATATCAAGGCGCATACACCAAATTGGAGGTGAAACTCGGCCGAAAAATGTTTCAGCGGTTACAAAGTGCCAATGCCAGTTAGTTACTTAACCTGTTTCACTTCAAAATGTATTCAAATAAAGCTTATTTAGCGTGCAAACATCGCTATGATAAAATGATCTGAATTAAATTTTTTAGAAAATTAATTAATTAATTATGGAAAAATATACATATTCATAAATTTTTTATTCGAAAATGTAATTCATACAAAAAATAATAATTGAAAAGAGGTTTACGAAAATTGGACTAAACTAAGATTTTCCAGGAAGTACTTCTCCAACTATTTCGAAATACAAACCACAAATGAATGTAATGTACAAACTAAATATGGAAATAATGTATATTTGTACATACATAGATACATACATACGACATGCATATATCTGTAAGTGAGAGAATGCTGAATTTTTTAGCAAAAGCGAAATTTTGCACCGTTGTTGAAAGAAACATCCTGCATAATGGAATGTTACAAATTTCAATTAAACATAAAATGTGTTACTATGATATCATTCTAGTCAATGCAGATAATAAAAATTTGATAAATTTTCCAAATGTGTGTCAAAACATTTTTTGGAAATAATTTTTAATTCTAAAAAATTTATACAACTTAACAATGCTTATTTCATATTAATGAAGGTCATTATACAATTAATAGGGGGCAGATGGTAAGAATGTCAAATGAAAGTTATTCATTCAAGTTTATATATTTAATGCAAAAATACTTACAAACATACAAATCACAACTGTATTTAATATATTCTTATACACATAAATAAATTAAAATAACATAAAAAATTATAAATGTTATTTACGTTAAAAATATCGATATTATTCAAAAACATAAACAAAAAATAATGCTAAATAATATAAATGTTTTCACCTTAACCCCTGAGTTATTGAAATTCGTAAATATATCTAAAATATACATACTACATATTTCAACACAACTGCTATATGTATGTATGTATAAATAAACTTTTTGTCATATATTTGTTGTTTTGTTGCTAGAATTTAATAAAAAGAAAATATTTTTAATACTGAGTGTATACTCTTAAACAACAACAAAAACAGCAACTAAAAATCAAACACAACAATTGAAATTTTTATTAAATAATAATATTAGTAATGTTAATCTATATTCATATTTTTTTTCTGTTATGTTGAGTTCATTGAATTATAATCCAAACTTAAGTTGGATAATTTCAGCGTTCACTTGAAATTACGTTAACATTAAAGCCATTAAGGCATTGTTAAAAAACTAACTTTTAATTTTTAGTCGTAACTTTAAAAAAGTGTTTGATTTACACACTTGAAAAATACGAATTAATTAGAGTATTCGTTAAATTACCCAAATGATTGGATAAAATTTAGTTAAATTTCAAATACAAAATGCATATGAGTGTTAGCGACTACATATAATAATAAGTATGTATGTACAATATTTCTGTTAAGTAGCGCCTGTCCCGCGTTTATTAACTTTTACCCAACCAAACTCCAAATTTTGTATGATTTTCAGCTTTTTGCAGAAACCTAACCTCAATCCCATGTATGAAGGCCCAATTATTGTTGTACACGAAAATACATTCCAAATCATACTGTGTAATATAATATATATTTACATATATTTTTGCATGCTCTCACTTTAACAGTTTGATATCAAACATACTAAACTAAACCAAACTAAACTAATTAAAAATGAGCAACTGAAAAGTGAATTTTATTCAACATAATAATTTATTATTCGATTTTGCCAGACTGTCGTAATTTACAGGGAGTATAGATTGTAAATTATTATTTAAAATTGTTAATTACACAATGAAACAACAAAATTAGCCTGGACTTGGATAACGTTTTCTGAAAATACACATATTTGGTAGCAAAACCTTCACAGGATTTTCAAAGTTCTTTGCATTGTGATTTTGCATATAACAAATTTTGCCGATGAATAAACCTCAAACGGCATTTCCAATGTGTTTTGTGAAATCAGATGGAATAATACGCGTTAAAATGTTCCAAAAAATTTTCTTGTGAAATTTTATTAAATAAATTTTAACCTTTACTTTCACTCAGTTAAACAATTTAATCCGTTTTTTGATTTTCTTAAAAACAATTTACACCACGACATGAAAGCTTTGGGAGGCCATGAACAATGAAATCGAGCGAACTTTTGAAAATTCGTAAATGTTTTTTTTTGTTACTGAAATGAGTTATCCAAAATTTACCTTGCAGTTTAATTGCTATTATTTTTTGGAAAAAATCATAAAATTAATGAAGCCATACTCACATTTGAATTTTGTCCTACAGCAGTCTGGCAGAAATTACGCTTTACAAAAGTATAACTTTTTAATGTTAAATTCTTATAATGTTTAACTTCTCGGTTAGTTTAGATATTGTGCAAATAATTCTTCATAAGTCAATTTTGAAAAGTCAAATTAAATAGACTCCACTAAATGGAAAAGAAAAGAAAATCGTTGAAGGATCGTGATTTCTTCGGCAAATCTACATTATACAAGAGAATTCGAAATGTCAAAAATTAATAGAACTGTCAAGTAGAACTTTAAAGCTTCTCTTATACCCAATGGCGTACGTACCGTGTAGAGATATTGTTATCGTCCACGCTTTCGAACCATATGGCACGTGGGGAATTACGATATGAGCAACAAGATGATTGAGTTTGCTATTTTCAAATATGCAACTGTTTGCAAGTGTGTTTCTGCGTTCAATTTCAAGACTGGCAGTATTAATGTCATTGGTGGTCCCTAGATAAACCAAATTATCCTCGACTTCAATGTTATGACTGTCAACGAAGTAATGGGAATCAATACGCGAGTGCCCTAGTTGTTTTTCATTATCAGACCTATTCGCTTCGCTTCTTTGTCTTTCTTCTAGAGATATAAAATCATCGACAAAGGCGTACATTTACTGGCTCTTTTGCCTTGTCTAATTAACTCTCTAACTTTTATTATTTTCTCCAGCATCAAGATGAAGAAGTCACACGGCAGAGAGTCACCTTGATACTTAACGGCTCGAAAAGGTTCTTTCCGGTTATTATGGCATTCCTGGCACCGCTCAGCGCCATTTTAAAAATATGTATTACGTTTTACAATACAATACAATTTTCTAATTGCGGTCGCCTCTCGGCAGGAAGTGTCCAAACCTCAGCGTGTATTTCTGGCATAAAATATCGGCTCCTCATAAAAAAAACGATCGGCCGCTCGGAGGCGGTCCCTCCATTTGTTGGAAAAACATCGCGGCGCAAAACCACAAATTTGAGGAGGTGCTCGGCCGAAAATCGCTTTATAAAAGAAGAGTGCATAAACATAATAATTGGTGCTTTGTAATCGCTGAAGCGATTCTCGGCCGAGCTCTTCGTCAAATTTGTGCACTCCGAACGCCCGATGGATTTTTTTGAGGGGGTTAACAGCTAGAAAAATTATTTTCTATAATTCAGAGCTTGAACTTCGGCTTTCAGAATAGCGGTACGCATTGCTAACCAATCGGCTATAGCAGCCGCCAAGATTATTCCACGATAATTTGAGCATACTGTTGGACTTACTTTATATTAGATTGGGCAGAAGAAATTGGGGTTCCACACGTCAAGTATGCAAGCCACCTACCGTATTTTGAAAAAAAAAATCTAATACATGCACTTTGACCATTCTAAGCCTCCATGCTTAAACAACTCGTGTCGATTTGTTATA